GATAATGTTTCTTAGAGGATGAAATGTAATGGCTAAGTTTTCCTTTTGTGTGTCTGTGTGTGTGTGTGTGTAATTATTGGCTCTTAAAAGAAACTTATCCACTCTTTGACAGGTCTTGTCTTATCATACTGTAGGGTGACATGCCACCCTCCTCACCAGAAAAGCTAATGGGAGATGCCGACCACCCATCCATACGCCATGTTGTACTGGGTTACATGTTACCAGTAGCAAGACTAAGCCTGACCTGAACCATGTATTTATGTATGTAAACACTCCACACTCACTTCACTGTTATTGAAAACCTCAAATTTCTGCTGTTATCAGTGTGTCTGTGGTAAGAAGTCAGTAGGTATAAACAACACATAACATAAAAGTCAAAACCATGTAAGTAGTAATCTTAGAAACTGTATCTGAAATTAGCAGGAGAGTGAATGAAATGAATCTTGAAACATGGGTCATAAATCAAAGGAACAAAAGTTTTATTTGAAAAAGATCGATTTTGGACATTTTTTTAAAAAAATCCACCTAAAGCAAGACGCAAGGGAATACTGGGAATGAAAGAGAATGAAAAGGACTTTAGAAAGAACCAGAAACACAATCCTAAACAGGAAACAAGTGATACACCTCTACTCCTATTCAAAACTCCAGGGAGGAGTGTGAAACAGATAAGAGATTAACCTATCTACTCTAGTTGAGAAGAGGGGAAAAAATAAATACATAAATAATTAGCAAATAGAATTTCAGAGTTCAGATGGAGACATTCGAAGTATAGAGTTGAAGTATGCTTTAGAAGGAACCAGAAACAAGGGATAATCCTCTACTCCTGTTGAAAAAACTGTGGCAAAGTGTGCACTGGGTGATAGACAAACCTATATACTTCTAGTGTGTGTGTGTGTGTGTGTGTGCATACATCTCCAAAGCTTGTCTATGAATCAAGCACTCTGAGTCACTGGCATGTTTATTCAAAAATAAATATGTAAAAATTTACCTTCCCCCTCTGCTGGGAGCTGATAGCTTAGAGGATAAAATCACCCACTGATGCCAAATCAGTTGGGTTTCAATCCTGGCTTGAGGCAATTGGATGTCTAGCCATACTGATGAGCTGTTGTGATACAGCAAAGCTGTGGATGACTATATATATATATATATATATATATATATATATATATATATATATATATATATGTGTGTGTGTGTGTTTTTAGAACTGTTTCTTTGTAACTGGAGGCAATGGTCTGATGGAGGTCCCATTGTTTGTTGTGGCCAATTTTTGGTTAGTTCTTACTTTGTGAAGAGTGCTTTAATCAATAATTGTTTTGTAGAAACCCATTGTGGGAATGTTGCCAAGTTACCTTTGTCAGAGAATGAAATTGGTATGCACAATATTCCTGGCCACATAGCAGTCGAAACTTGTTTTGTCCAGGCACAAAATAACAAACCTGCAAGAAATTCCAAATACTACTTTGCTTGAGAGCCTTAGAGATTCACATTCTCTGTCTCTTTTTGACCAACTTTAACATTTTTGCTCAATTAAAGAAGTTGGACATCATAGATGAAAATTAAGTGAACTGAATTGTTATGTAATATCAGTTCTTCTATATGACAGTGAAAGCTGAACGACCTACTCATAGATGAAGAAGAGACTTGAAGCAACAGAAATCTGGTTCTAGAGAAGAATGCTGAGAATGCCATAGACTAAACATGTGAGCAATGACAAAGCTTTAAAGGAAGCAGAAACAAAAAGGGCATTTATACTTAACATCAGAAGGAGAGAGTTAAAATTTCTAGTGCATATAATGAAGAAAGAAGGCTTGGAAAATTTGACACTCACAAGACAGATTGAAGGAAAGAGGGCCAGAGATAAAAATCACATAAACTACCTAATGAGCTTGTTTAAATGGATGGCAGAACAGGGATTAGGAAGAAAAAAACAAAATAATAAGAAATTTTTGAGATTTATGATCACTAACGACATGAAAGGACATGGAACATAGAAGAAACAAGTCAAGGCAGTCAAAATCTGCTCTATTCAGCCATTAAATATTGCCTACCAAGCCACCAGAAAGAGAAGTTATTGTTTCTCTTAAAATTCCAAGGTCACTAGTATTAATGAAAAAAAAAAGTGCCCAAGCTGACAATTGTGTCCTCCAACAGCTCACAAATCCAAGGAAAATAACTCATTTCATTCACTGTGCTTTAGAAAGCAAATAGAAAGAGTGATGAATGTAAAAAAAAAAGAAAAAAAAAAAAAGAACTATTTTCTTTTTTGTTTTATCAAGTGGCAACAGACAGATTTTTGATAATAATAAACAAGTTTAACTATGACCTGTAACTAAGGGCCAGGTCAAGGGTTTCATGGCCCTATCCACTCTACTATATCTCAATTTACAAAAAGGTTGTATTCATATAAAATACAAATTTTATTTTAACCTAATTATGTACAATAATGGATCATATGCAATATAGGTGGACAATTCAATTAGAAGTATTGAAAATAAATACAGTGTATCTAAATACAAATTAGAGACATGTCGTAATAAATAATTCCATCTTAAATAAATCAACAATGTTTTGTGGTAATTTTTAACATCAACTTGTTAAAAGTTGAATAATTTAACACATTCAACATTATGGATAAAAAAATAGTGCATTTTCAAGACTTAGCATGAACAAAAATTTGAACAAAAAAAACAAAAAAACAAACCAAAAAACAAAAACAACCCTAGAATGAAATCAAATCTGCAAATATTTTTCAGTTTAATTTGTAACACATATAAGTGTAGATAGAAAAAAAAAGCAAATGTTGATAAGGTAGAGAGTGTCACAAAGCCCTGCCCGGGGTCCCCAATCAGGCTTGGGCTCTCCCTTGTCAGGCAGTTTGGGCATAGTCTGTGCTGGCCGTGCCTGTAACTAAAAATGGCCTAGAGACATCTAGTATAAGCCATTTGGCTGGAAGGTCTTGGTTACACAAAAAAAGAAAAAAAAACACTGATATATGATACTTACTAAATAAAGCTTACAAAACAAAAAAAATAATAGAAAATAAAAGAAATTGAGATTACATAGAATATAAGATGACAAGTAGTCTTTATTTAATGAAAACTTATTGATTGATTTTTATGGCTTATCAACTCTTTGCAGATTATTTGAAATACATGAAATATTTTTTTAGATTGCATGAAACAAGTACAACAATTTAAATATCTGGGAAGTGCTTTAACAGATGATGGAAAGTGTGAAACTGAAATCTGAAGATACATTAGGATAGCCAAAGATGCCTAAGCTGAATATTAAGAAATAGAAAAACTTTGTTAGAAACAAAGAAAAGAATACTGAACTGTTACACAATAGCTGTCCTCCTGTATGGCAGTGAATGCTGGATAATCTCTTCAAAGATGAAAAGGAGACTTAAAGCAACAGAAATGTGTTTCTACAGAAAGATACTGAGGATACCATGGACCGATTATGTGAGCAATGACGCAGTTTTAGAGAAAATAGAAACAAAAAAGAAACTCAACATCAGAAAGAGGCAGTTAAAATTTCTATGGTTCATAATGAGGAAAGAAGGCTTGGAATATCTGATACTCACAAGACATTATGTCTAAACTACTGCAAAACCTCTCTTCCTGCAATTAGCTTTTTTTTCGCCTTGCCACTTGTTCACTGCCACTGACGTTATGTATTTAAAGGCAGGTATGCTAATCTGTAGGCAGCATATCCAGGCTATTTGATCAATCGTTTTCTGTTATAAACTACAGATTGAGTCTGCTCTGGTTTTTCTTTATATCATGGATGCTTTACTATTTATCTCATAGCTGAAGGAGGAAGAAATCTTTTCATACCTTTTCTGAAGATATTTGTGTGAAAGTGAACACAGTGACCTCAGCTGAAATTTGAATTTGGCATGCTGATCCCACTTATCTGCTGATCAGTATTATTTTTTATTTTTCATATTTTTTAATAATTTCATCCCAAACAAGGCAATAATTCCACTAAGATGCAAAGGGTTACTGGGAGTGGAAATGAATGTGAAGAGAAAGGCTTATAAAAAAAGTGTATATGACTCAGGAAGACAGAAGATGGCGATTGATGTTGCATTTAAATTATTGAAAATTTTAGTACCAGGGAAGCCAGAAATTGGAAGAGAGTTCCACAGGTGAGAAGAGAAAAGAAACTTATGGTTATATTTAGCTAATTCAACAGTAAAACAATGAGATCTAGTAGCCAATCTAGTAATAGGCTTAAATTCATGTGGTTAAGGTACAAAGGAAAAAACTATAAACACATTCATTAGACTCATAATGAAGCACCACATGAAGGTGAAGTAATTTGATCCAAGCCTAAATGATGTAAATTAGTTAATGAAAAGAAAAAATAAATGCATTAAAATATTCACAAATTAATGCATGTAAGATGGAAAAAAAAGAATAAACTTATTCCAGTAATTATAATGAGAATGACCATTGCCGTACCTCTTTCATTTTTTTATTTTTTTTTTTACAGAAACCAGATGTTGATCATCCGATAAGCCAACGCAGACTGCGTAAACAGGTTTTCTGTGCATTGGCTCCCTGCATACATCTGCTTTAACCAAAACAAAATTAATAATATATTGTGACTAGTCAGGGCCACACCAACTCAAAAACCAAAACCTTAATTTCAAGCCAAGTAAAAACTATATATACCCAAGTTCAACCAAACCTGACACAGACCAGCATTTGATGTTGATATGCTGAGAGTGATATACTACCAACAACAACACAAGTGCAGGCACCACCAAGTGTCTATTCATTTCTAATTTCAACAATCTCTCTGTTTCCTTAGCAACATCAACAGATAGAAGTTATCCATTTTTGTATATAAATTATACATTTTTCTCCCCTACTCAATGTCCCCTTTTGTTTGACGTTTGGAGAGTTGGTGAAGGAATTAACCTCCATAACAGTAGCAATTTTGAATCATTATTTTTAAGCACAATTCGAGAAAGAAAGAATTCTTACCAACATGGCTGTTCGCAAATCATAATGCTGAAAAAATTTTGTAATGAAGATGTCAATTGAGACAATTCCTTTTGTATCTATTTGTTCAACTTCTTGAAGAATATCAATCAACCATTCAAAATGTCTATGGCTTCCAGTTACCCAAATAAAATGCACCTGAAAAAAAAAAAAAAAAAAAAAAAAAAAACAACAAAAAAAAATTAATATATAACCATTTGACAGATTTACATATGGGCTGCAGACCGGGTGCCCCAAGATTAGAGAACCCCCAAGTTTTGGGCCCATGCTAAAACTAAAAAAAATAAATATATAAGAACAGAGGAGATTTGTTTATTTTCAGATTTAATGAGACTCTTTTGAATGAATTTGAAACAATTTAGAATATTTGAGCCTCACTAGTTGGAGTGGGTATTTTAACTTTGATGGGGGTTCCTTTCAAGTTGCATGATTTAGATTCTGATGTATCTTTTTTTTTTATATAAATATAGATTTTTGATGTTGCTTGTTCATTTTTGACTTATGGCTACATCATGTTGAAGCACCTGTTCCCATACGATTGCTGAATTTAAGCAACATTGAACCTGTTCACTACCTAGATGGGTGACTGCTTGGTAATACCAGGTGCTGTAAGCATGGATGCCCTGGTGGCAAAATGGATAATGACTCAGAATTGTTAACTGGAGAGCAGAGTTCTAATTCCAGTTGGGTTTGTTATATTTACTTATGTGCAAATACTCTTGGGAAAGGTATGAATCCTGATTGAATAAAATTGGCACATCAACCTCAATGGATTATTTAATGCCAACAAGATTTGATTTGTTCATATGAATAGAATATATATTCTTTGTAAGAAATGAGTTTGTAGATCAGGTTTCATTGACTTATATTTGTAAAGAGGGTTTTTGTTGAGAGTCAAATGTATTGCTGGTAATTTTTTTTTTTACCAAAAGGTGTATTCCTGGTATTTTTACTATAAAAATCTATTTTTATACTTTCATAGTGTTTTAACCCCAGTTTAGAGGTTAACTATTTTCCCATAGTTGGGACCCTAGCAGATGTTACCACCCTGGGGTGGGGTGGACCATGGAAAAATAGCAATTAAGAGGTGGTTCCATGCTCCTCAAAACCTCCCAATCAGAGACCTTGCTGCTAGATGTAGTTTATTGTCATATCCCAGGACTCAACAACAAAATGGACAAGAATTTATCCCTTATCAGTTTTATTCAGTTTTCATGTAAAAGTTCTACTCTTTTTGTTATTAATGAAAATCTGGTATAAATTATAGGTTTATAAAAAATGCCTGTCTCAGTGAAATGGAAAACTTTGTTAATTTTGAATTTTTTCATTTGTATCCTTTTACTTCTTTAAAGATTTGCAAATAGGGATTTGTGATTTTTATAGCAATATTTTATTAAAGTCATTAAATAAAAATATGAAGTTTGTCTGAAAAGTAACAGTACTGGTGTCAGAAATAATTTATTTTAATTCCAAAAAAAAAACTAAAGTAATCCCCACCCACTCAAATCTAATGCACATTTCTGACCTTCCCTGAGAATCCTCTATGTACTGCTGGAAGGATTCTTCTTTGATACCCCCTCTTGATGGCCTTCACACCTTCAAAAGGGGTCACTTAATGATTCCCTTGAGCTTGGGGAAAAGAAAAAGTTGCATGGCACAAAGTCAGATGAATAGGGAGGTTGTCCCAGTATGGCAATGCTCTTCTTGGCCAGGAACTGCCAGATTCTCAGAGTGATGTGAACAGGTGCATTGTCATAGTGAAGCAGTCACAATTTGTCCTGCCATAATTCTAGTCTCTTCTCACACATAAACTTACTGTGAACAGTGCCTCTCACATCAAAGAAAAAACACTTTTCAGATAGATCTCGTATTTAAATGATGCAACGAGTATTTCATAATTGTGGAAATTGCAACAAATGCATTTAAATAATTAAGAATTATGATTCATCAGAAAATTCAAATAGGAAAACTGTAAAATTTTCACAGGTACTACTAGTATTATTTAATGTTAAATTGATAGAAATTATGGCAATGTAATTTTTTCATAAATTGCCATGCTTAAAAAATGTTTTAAAATACCTCTTAAAACAATTTTCAAAATGTTGAATTTTTTAAAAATTCCAATTCCTTGTGAGATTTGACAATAATTAAATTCTTACCTTTTGACATTTTATTTTGTAAGTATTTTTCATTGCATTCATATGCACAAAGTCTTTTAAGATCGCAGCATAAGGGGTAACACCAATCCCAGCACCAACTAAAATAGAAACATCAAAGCGGTACCAGTCTTGTTGCCCAGCTCCATAAGGTCCATCAACATATAACTGAAAAAAAAAAAAAAAAAAAAGCAACAAATGAAACTTCATCTCTATTAGATTAATTCTGGAATAAGGACACAAGTAGATGGCACCTAGTGAGGATCAAACACATTCAGCAACAGCTCTTTATTGAGTATCTATGCAAATGATACAACAGTGTTTAGGTGACCAGAGCCTGGCTGCTGACCTCGCCTCTGACCAAGCCTTGGTGGCTCAATAGGAGGGAAGGAACTGGTTTGTAACATTCAATACCGCCAAAACCAACTTGCAGCAGACTCTGAACTTTCACCTATCATGATGGATAGTTGTTCTCTCAAGCAGGCTCATTGTCCTGAACACCTATTAGGATCCAAGCTCTCCTCAGACCTCAAGTGGAACTCATATATATGATGCATCACTAAAGAGCCAGGGAAAATTGGTTGGATTCTTGTACTGCTCCTGTAAGTATCAAACACCTGCTACGTTCTATCTTGGTAAGTACCAAATCAGAACAAAAATAGATGATTGCTGCCATTATCTTGACTAGAACTGCCCAGTCTGTTTTGTTAGAATTTAAAAGCATCCACGTGGCTTTGAGGGTGAGGAATAATTTTCCACCCTACAATCCCTCTGCAATACAGATTGTCAAGCTGCACTAGTAGACAGGAGGGCTCAGAAAACAAGAGTAGCCAGCCATTATATAAGTGTGCATGGGAAAGAATAAAAAAAAATTCAAAAGTCTGAAATTTCAGCATCCCCAACCCGTCATGTGTAGTTACGTCAATTGAAACATCATTTTACTCTTATAAAGCCCTAAAGGATGCAATGCATGACAACAAAGAAATTCCACTTTGTTATTAATTTTACTTCAAAAAATATATATATATATATATATATATATATATATATATAAATATGACAGCCTGGAAAGGTTTCTTGTGACACCTTTCATCCGTTAGGATTTCATCAGACTGAGCTTTGATAATGTTGCCACACCTACACACGCACGCAAACTGAAAGATGCAGGTAGTTTAAAAAATTTTGAAACTATCTGTGTCTCAGAGTTTTGTGCGCAAGTGTAGATGTGGCAACGTAATCAAAGTCCAGTCCGATGAAATAGATGAAACATCACAAGAACCCTTTCCAGTTATTCATATTTTCTAAATACTGTTGATATATATATATATATGTCTGAATGAATAAAAAAAAAAAACTAATCTTAGGCAACATATTTTGTCCTCTGCTGGGCTTTATCAAGGCAAATGTAAGGATTTTATTTTGCAAGAAGTATTTATAAACAGAAGTAAAAATTTTAGTTTTTCAGTATTTCTAAATTAAAAAAACGCCCATAAATATACATTATGCTAACTGAAATTAAAGTCAAATTATGGAAGATGCTAAGTGACATAATTTTATGTCAAATAAATGAAAGCAAGCAAATGTTATTAAATTTTTTATTTTATAATGTAATTTTTATTATTTGTATTATTTTAACATGAGATTAATTTATACATTATATATTTTAAATAATAGAAGGATTTGAACTTATCCATTTTCTTTTAATTTAGAAAAAAATTAAATATGTTGGCTTGGGATAGAGTATTTCTTTTAGGAAGAAACATATTGGCTAAGATAAGTTTTCTTTTTGCCTTTATTTATATTGTCCTTTTTAGAGCTATATATCATTATATATATATATATATATATATATAATTATTTTTATAAAAAAATTATAACATAAGTATGTTATAAAATCACTACAAAAATAGCCATTTTGTTTCAACACACTCTGTGTCTTATCAAGTGATGATGTTGAAAAGAAAATAAATGGTTATTTTCTTTTCAACATCATCACTTGATAAGACACAGAGTGTGTTGAAACAAAATGGCTATTTTTGTAGTGATTTTATAACATACTTATGTTATAATTTTTTTATAAAAATAATTATATCTGCTCTACTTTGTATTGAGCACTCTTTTAAGAATAGTAATTGTTGGTTATTGGAATTCATTCCGTGTATACCAATTATATACTTTGTATATATATTATATATATATATATATATATATATATATATATATATATATATATATATATATATATATGCACATGCACACACACACATATACACACAAATAATAAGAATGCCAAAATCAACAGAGCCAAAATATAACAACAATATGAAATGTGCTACTCAGAGTTTCATGCAATGGCAATCATCAGGCAGAACTATGAAACTAAACTATCATTTATATAATCCAGGGGTGGCATATATCACACATACATACATATATATATATACATATACATACATACATATACATACATATATATATATATATATTTTCTCTCTCTCTCTCTTACTCACTCACACTCTATGACATCATTAAATAAGGTTCAATAGGAAAACCTTTATAAACTTAATGTTTCAAGATTTACTTCATCAGAAATTTTTGAGGAAGTGAAAGAATGCAGAATTATGTTTCAATTTTTAAATTCTATGTTGTTTTGTTTTTGTTGCTTGTTTTGATGTCCATATTTATCTTTTGGTGTTTATGTTTGGTTCTTGAAATATTAACATATTTGAGTTTGTAGAGAAACCAGACCAAGTGGAAAACCTATTTATTGACAACATGTTTTGCTTTCTTTAGGTAGGCATCTTTAGGTCAGAATGAAAGACAAATCTTTGTGGTTTTTTTTTTATATTCAAACTGTTGTAACACAGGAAAATGTTACTGAATAAGAATAACCAAAATGAAGGATGGAACATTTATTGTTCAAAATAAAGTCCATCTATTGTCATCGATCTTCTGATCCCTGGCAGAAGATCAACAAGAATAGATGGACTTTATTTTGAACAAGAAATGTTAGTGTTGCTCCATAAAATCTTGCTGTTTTCTTTCCGTTTTCTAAGTGAGTCAGGACTTCCTGGACAACTGAATATTTCTTATTTGTTGTAAATAAAGACACTTTAAAAAATGGAAGTGTATTTGTCAAAGAAAATTAAAATCAACCCAAACAGAAACCAAGGATCTTACTTTTGGATAAGGTTGTTCTTTGAGATTTTCTGGATTAAAAATTTCTCGTATCTTTGAAGTCCAAGGTCCAAGAGCACGTATATGGACGGAGAGGGTATCTTCATGCGGAGCAGATGTCAGGGTGAATGGATGGAATTCATTCTTTCCAAGAGAATCACAAGCAATTCTGACCCATTGGCCAGATTTATATTCAAAATTTGTGGGTCGCTTGAATTCCAGAAATGAAACATCTGCAAAAGAAAAAAAATGTAGGATCATAATTTTGATGATACAGACATAATTGAACAGGCTCACAGCAAGATGTGCAACCCCTAAAGGTAAGAATAAGGGAAATAAAAAATGCTGTAGTCTGGGAGGAATCACAGAAATTCCTCTGATCATATATGGTGGGAAAAGTATGGTTATCAAACCCTGTAGAATGAAGTTAAGATAACAGAGAAACCTGGAGGATAACTGAAAGAATCAGTGCTAATGTTAGTAATGTTATGTTCCTCAATAGACCTAGCATAGAAATGATAAAAATTCTGGGAGCTTTTAATAAAGAAAGGACATGCAAATATTCCACAGCTTGAGTACATACTCCAAAATGGCACCATTGGATTGCCTAAGAGACATGGCCTAGTGGATTAAACAATTAGTTAAAACATATCTGGTTCCCTGAGTGTTGTGAGTTCAATCCTGGGTTCGGTCATTCAGAAAAGTGAGTCAACAAGAACAGACAGGAGGTACAGTGATAAATAGACTAGCATGGAAAGCATGAGAACAATATACAATGAAGATGTGTCTGAGCAGACCCTAAATTTTTGCCTATAGTGATGAACAGGTGAATTCTCAAGAAGGCTCTGTGTCTTGAGCAGCTATTGGAACTTAAGCTCAACTCAGACTTCAAGCAGAACTCATACATATGATCCTTGGAAAAATCCTTGGTCCCTTGTACTATTCCTGACTCCTCCTGCTATCCTCTACCATTGCAAGAGCCTGATCAGGCTGAAATGGAGAACCACTGCCGTATATGGGTAGCAGCTGCCCAGTCCTCATTTTTCAGTCCTTGAGTCCACTGTACAACCCATTTGCCACAGACAAAATGTTGCCAGCCTATTGCTGCTCTATCACTATTTCCATGGAAATTGTTCAAACTACATTCCTTAGTTCCACCAGTTCTAACCTGCTAAAACCTGCCATGCCACATATTGTAGTAGACCACCCTCATTCTCTTTGCATTCCATTGGTGAGATGTAAGTTCAACTCAAGCATCTTTTTCACAAACAGCTGCTTAGTGGTATTGATTCCTAAGAGGATGCTTCCTTGATCCCTACAATCTTAACCTTTTCAAGTCTATAGTTAACCGTCATCTTTCCCACCTATACCTATAAACTGTACCTCTTATTCTGTAACCCTCTACTTTGAGTGGCTCTTGGGCCTTTTTCAGAGTGAATATTATTATTATTAAAAAACATTGGCCTGAATAGAAAGGTGGTTATATGAACGCCATTGAAATTCCTAATGATGTCCCTCATGACAGTTTCCCAACACAACAAAAATAACATACAGCACATTATCACTTCTGGCACCTCCAGAACCTTGTTTCCAATAAAGTGAGTTGTAGTCCTCCACTAGATGTACAATCCAAGCTCTTTTCTTTAACTGCTCTGGCTCTTCACATGTTAACCAGTAGTTAAAAGGTGCTGTTTTACGCGTACCACAGCTACAATACTTTCATTGACACGAGTCTATAGTGGCATTGAACAATTGGTTTACCCACACCAAGAAGGTTAATGAATGATGATAATGAAGAGGAAACACACAGGTAATTTTAATTAAACAAAATAAAGAATTTATTTACGAATTAGCATGTTCCAAGTTGTGTCAGCAGCTCATTTCAGAAAAATAAATCAGAAATTTTTAAAGTCTGTAGTTTTAACAAATGTCATGAAGAAGAAATGTTCATATAACAGATTAAATGATCTGAAACAAAATAATATTAGAAAATGTTTAAAAGAAAGGTAAGAGAATTAGTTGCTCACCAAAGAGATATATGATTTGTATGCATTCAAAACTAGATTTGAAATATTTAGCTTTCTTGGATAGTTGAAAAAAAGTTCCTTAAAATGCCAAATGCTTGGTTAGACCTGATAACTGGCGAGTAATTTGACACTGGCAAAAATTTAAATGCTGGACATGTGAACAAAAACAAAACTTATGACACATGACTTATGACACTCTTCTCTTGTTAATTTAATTTTTTTCCTGACTTTATATAAAAAAATAATTTCATATAGGCTTGCTATTTTCATTTTGTTTTTTTCTAGGATCATTGGATAATTTCTGTGAAGACAAGGTTTTCATTGGTCCAAAAGCAATTTCACATAGGCTCACAAATTTATTTCCATCTTTTCTCAGCTTGCTGGTCAATCACTGTGAGGTCAAGGTTTTCGTTGGTCCAAAGAAAATTTCATATTTCTTTCTGTTTTCTTCCTCAGCTTGCCCTAATTTGAAGGGTGTGGATAAAGGGAGTTATTAATTTGTACTTACCACTGGTAAAATACTGAAAGAAACCCTCAGACACTGATAGTGACGTGACAAAGTGCCCCAACCAAGGCAGAGGTTTACTGGAGACAGGAGGTGACTACAGCAGTGAATACAAAACCTGACTTAAGTAAAAAATCACACCTGAAGGTTTTAGTTTCCAGTGCAATTGCTGGGGATGTTATTAGCAAAGGTGCAAAATAGTGCACAAGTACAAAAAGATGCTAGTGCCAGACTCAAAATCTCTAAAACAAATGACTGTTATCCTAAAACATCAGAATGAGATATGATTTTCTCTTGTGTGACTGTGATATAGCTGAGTAAACCTGACAGGTTTATAAAATCTATACACCCTTTAGTTTAGTTAATGCCATATCAACTCCTCATGCGTCATTTAATGCCAAAATTTTATTTTCTTGTGAGCTTTGGTAATTTTTTTTTCCAAAAATGTATTGCTATTTTTTTTATTTTTATTTTTTTTTTACTATGAAAATATATTGCTGGTAATTTTTTCTAATGTATTTTTATATTTTCATGTTTTGACTCCAATTTGGGGGTTCACTATTTGCCCATAGCTGGTATCACCCTGGGTCAGAGTGGAGCTGGGAACAACAGCAATTAAGAGGTGGTTCCACACTTCTCAAAACCTCCCAGACAGAGGCCTTGCTTCCAGTTGTAGTTTATTGTCATACCCAGGACAATATATGCCCTTTACAAAAGCATATAATAATAATAATAATAATAATAATAATAATAATAATAACTAAAGAAAAAAATTTGCAAAAACTTTATGGTTTTCCTATTTGAATTTTCTGATGAATCTTAATTCTTAATTTGATGATTTAATAAGCTCATGACAAGTTCTATGACAATAAAATATCCGTAGAATTCTCCTATCACATCACATTTGAAATTAACAACTTTAACAATAACAATCATAAATATGAATACTGGTTGCTATTTTAAGAAGTGGGTACAAATAAAAAGAATTTGAAATTATCAACTTTTTCCATATGTCTTGTTTTTCTACACAATCAAAACAGAATAGTCTATTATTTATGAGGTATTGGCAGGAAACATTAAACACTTCAATCTTCCCTTCTTTTTTTTCTTTCTATCCAAATCCCCATCTTAAAATATTTCTCTTAATAATAATTTAATAATAATTCAGCAGACGATGTTATTTTATTCATGGTATCTAGATTTTTGGCGATTGTCTTATTCAGTTTCTGTTGTTTGATATTGTGTGTCTGGAAAAAAAGGTACTTTTATTACTTCTTGGCATTTTGGCTGAGATTAAAGTGTAGTATCTGTTCTTATCTGCTTAATCTGATTCTCTGTCTCCCTCTCTCCACTTCTATGTTTGTTTCTTTCTAACCAAATCTCTGTCTTACAAACGTTTCTCTTACCATATATACTTGCTGATAGCCCCCCCCACACTTTATGGTTTAATAATTGATGATTTACTGTTGATTTGCAGATAGGTTGCACTATAATCTGGGGTGTTACATAGCCCTTTTTTAAAACGTAAGAATTATCAGATATCTACATTTATTTCTATCTTTATTTCAAAACTTACAATTATTAATACACTTTTGTAGTTAAAATACATTTCATCAAATCATCATGTAAACTTAAGAAAATGTTATGGTACACTTAGAAAAAAAGTGTTTATCTATTTATCTATCAAGTTACAGTTTTAAAATTCATTCAGAACTGAGTCCCAAGAATTCTTCTTCACTATCATCACTGTCAAACATATTCTCATTTATTCATCAGTTAATAGGTTTTTTTTTATCATTGTCCATTTCATAGCGGTTGTCCAACTCATCATCACTTGTGATATAACCATCTTCATCTTTGAAGCAACCATATCCTTATTCTCGGCCTTTTCCGTGCTTGAAGGAACTAAATCCTTATATGTCATCTTCAGTTCCATCCATGGCATTTGAGATGCCACATTGTTTGAGAGATTTCTTCAGTGATATCTCAGAAATCATGATAACAAGGTAGTGTTGTTTTACGTTTATGTTGAGCAGGTAGGTTGCACCCCTAATATTTTGTGAAATTTTTGGTACAGAAAGTGTGACCTATCTGCAAGTATATACAGTAATAATAATATAAAAATAATTCAGCAATGTTATTTAATTGATGGCAACTGGATTTTTGGTGATTGCCTTATTTGGTTTTTGTCATTCGCACTAATGAAGGGTGGGTCAAGGACAATTATAATAGGATAATAATGATAATAAACTATCTTTAAAATATACCTTATGACAAGAAATGGTTTCTAAAAACTCACCTGAAGGAAGTTTCTCTGCTCGTACAACACTTATCTCTGTCCTTTTGCGACTCAAACTTATCATTTTGTCAATTACAAATGCAATAACTGGTCCAATGAAGTAACACCAAAACATTGGTTTCTGTACAAGGACAGATGACCCGTGCAGCACAGCTAGAATGTACAGTGGAATGATAAGTTTGTGAGTCAACCAAAAGGCCTTAAATATGTATCGACGACTCATCTGGGTGGCAAATATGTAAATCACAATGATTAAGATGGTCAGGAGAACTCCTGTCATTCCTGCAAGTAAAAATGGTGAGGTGTCGGTAAAGTTTGAATTCAGATGAAACACATAATTAGGTAATATAAAGATGATATTGTTTTTAGCATTAAGAGTTTTCAGATGTTTGAATTTCCTCAAAAAAGCATTGTCATAATTATTAAATTTTTAATGTTTTTTTACTTTCAATGCTGTAGTGTAGTGAAAAATAAAAAGTCTACTATTTAAAAAAAAAAACAAATAAAAAATAGAAAACTAAAAGTTGTCAGACCATTTTGTTTTGCCATTAAGAAATAAAAACAAAAAGATAATAAAAAATAAATAACAAAGGCCAAAAGGTCATCATTCCTAAATGTAGATGAAGAAAAAGGGATTGTCAAATGAGTCACACCTGTGAACCAAACAGAAATCAAAAGACAATTCTGAAATTAATTCCTTTGTCTCAAAAGTGTAAAAAAAAATACAGAGAAATGACCAGAAAAAGAAACGAGAGTCGATAGAATAATTTTGTCCATTCTACCATATTCTACATTATCAGGGCACCTAAAAATCCCGTAGACAGTTACAAGGATTACTACTATCAATGAAATACATACATATATACACATTTACAAGGACTCTCTATTCTGTCTTATGATAAAGGACTTAGACGTTCAACATGAGAACTTTTTGATATGAACTGTTTAAACACTGTATATTTTAAGAGATGTATAATTTTATCAGTACATTCAAAATATATCTTTGTAGTAATTATCTTTGCATTCATACACCAACAATTGGTGTAGATTGCGATTAAAGATGATATCTGAGATAACCACCGCTAAACACCACAGTAGTAAGAGTAAATAAGTTGTGTTAGATGAAATATTGTTTGGCTAGTTGTTCTTCCATAATATTTTCTTGTCTGTGTGGTAGTTTTCCTAAGTTATCTGAATTTCTGATATGAATCATTGCCATTAACACTAACAAGATTTTCTTCCATAATATTTTCTTGTCTGAGTAGTATTTTTCCTAAGTTGTCTGAATTAATGAGATGAATCATTGTCATTAATTTTGTTGTCTAAGAAGCGGTAGCAGTTTAGATATAATATTCTTAACTTATGTGGAGAATGGCCATATGATGTTGAAATATGTTTTCACCTGATCACTGATATTAAGCAACATCCTGTCTGGTCAGTATTTGAGTGACTGCTTAGGAATATCTTTCCTGTAAGCTTGGATGTGTGGGTGGTGTAGTGGATAGCAGCTCGGAATGAGAAATAGAAAATCCAATTTTGAATTCCTGTTGAGATTGTTACATTCACTCATGTGCAAATTCCCTTGTGAAATGTATGATTTCCACCTTTTCTCCCTCCAGCTATAGGTTAAATATTAGGACTTGAATGTGAAAAAAAAAAAAAAAAAAGACTGTTACAAGTACAAATTCTTTCCAATTTTTTGAAGATATCTTGAGACAGTACAGAAGAGAAAGGCTCACCACACCACATGACAATTTTAAAATGAACTCTGGAGAGAGTCAAGTCACATGGGTACACATTCTGTTTTAGGTGAAGAGAGTGAGCTTTAAGTTGAATGAATTTATTTGATAAAGCAGTCATTATATTTTTGATTAGTTTTTCATCAATCTTATATTTGTTGCCCGAGTAGCAGGAGTAGTAGACATAAAAGTTTTAAGTTGTACAATTTTTTTTAGATAACAAAACACTTTCCACCTGGAACTGACTCTCTATTGTGTAATAGGCACATAACTTTGTCCATGGTTTCTGTTATCATTTCAAAAATGGATCCTTACAAAGCATGTTGACTTGATGGTATCCCTGCAATAGTTCTTAAGAAATGTACTCCTGAACCGTCTTCTGTTCTCTTTAAACTCTACAATACGTTGCTGCTTCTTGCTTTTCTGCTTGTTGGAAATCCTCTTCTGTAGTTCCATTCTTTAAAAATTCAGGTAAAGTATCTGATCCTTCTACCCCTTTTTGGCAAAGTGTTACAGGCGCTAATCAATTGAATTGGTTATGTATTTTCTTGTAGGGTCTTCTTTCACTAAGTAATATGGCTTTCGCTTCTCTAGGTCAACTGCTGATATATTAACAATTTTTACTGAAAGAGACTATCAAGCTTTAAACAAGAATGGTGAAACTTGTTCTGTTGCTTTGGATATCCCAAAGATATTTGACAGGGTTTAGCATGTTAGTTTTTTTTCATAAATTAAAAGGTTAGGGTATTTCTGGACAATTTTTTGAAAGAATTCAGTCCTATAAAATTGCAAAATGAAAGTCGTCTTGAAAGGCCACTCTTCTTGATCTTTTTGCATTAATGCAGGTTTCCGCCTGCTCTATATTGGAATTACATTGTTCCTAATATTAATTTTAACATCTCCAAAATGCTCTGCTCTCTTTTATGCAAGAACCCATTTTACCTTCCATCATCATGTCTGATGCTAATCTCCAGACGAGTGACATATTGTGTCTTCTCTGGCTAATATTTTCTACTGACATTAATTGAAAAGATTATATTGAATCAATTGCTAGGTCTGCTACTAGGATTCTCTGCATTGTGCTAGACAGTTTTTCAAGCCAGAATGTATCTTGCATATTTTTAAGTTTGCCATTTGTCCATGCAAAGAATATTTCTGCAACATCTAGTCTGGTGATTCTGCTATGCATTTAGAGACTCTAAAACTAAGCTACAAAGAATAATCTACAATACTATCAGTCTTGACCTGGCATCTCAGCTTCAGTCACTTTTCCACCACCATAATGTAGCTTCCCTGTACCATTTCTATAAATATTTTCATGGTAATTGTTCTGATGAGCTTTCAAATTTAGAGATTCTTGATAAATTCTAAAGAAGAATCTACAATGTTATTGGTCCTGACCTGGCATCTTAGCTTCAGTTACTTTCCCATTACCGTAACATAGCTTCCATATACCTTTCCAGTAAATACTTTCATGGTAATTGTTCTGATGAACCTTCCTCTATGGTACCTAAGCTTTATGAATTTAAGCACAGTACTAGATTGGCAACAAGTTTTCATCATTTTACAGTGGAACTGGCTAAATCTAACTGTAAGTTCTATGCTAACAGTTTCTTCTCTTGAACTTCTTGCTTGTGTAAATCACTTACAGCTCCTTGCTTGCCAGTCAACTTTGATTTTCAAAAATTTAAATGCATTGCAATTGTTATCTTCTGTCTTTTTAATTCATGTTGTTTTACTGTTCTCTCTAACAGTTTTTCATATTCTTTCACACTCAGCAAACCCTTGTGACTTAGTGGCTTTATTGCCTTGCTTGAGGTGAAATGATTAAAAAAATATACAAAGATAAAAAGAAAACCTAAAACATACCCCTCTACCATTGTAATAAATTCCTTTTTAATCAATAATAATTATCTTGTCCTAAAAATGGTTTTGTGTTATACATGAAAACAAAAATTTAAACTTTCTCTGGTTACCATATTTTTAGCTTGTGAATTTTTACTGTAGTTTATAAATGATTTACAAATATAGTTGACTGATGCACAAACAATAAAAAGTAAATTTTAAATACTCTTCTCAGATTTTCTTAACATTGTAAAAAAGATGACATTTAATTCATCCCAAAGCAGTAAAATAAAAAAAAAAATATTTAAACATTTCTCACCTGTGAGATTTCCAAAAAGCCACCAATAAAATTTGGGCATGAAATCTGTCCTGGAAAAAAAAAAAAAAAATCATAAAAATTATTTTTTTTATAAATTTGTCTATTTTTTATTTGAACTTTATCTAAAAGTGATACAAATAAATTCAAGAAAACATTTTCCCCATCATAGTTGTTAATCTCAAATAATCTTGGGTGTTTTTTGAATAATGATATATTGGTGATATCTAACAAACAAAATAAAACAAAAAATATTTGGTTGAAAAACAAATTGGATGAAGAGTTGCGATAACTAAAGGGATCATGAAGTCATTAATAAAAAATAATTGTTTGTGAAAAAGTTGGATGAAAATGTTTAAAAATAAGTTGCAACTTCTGTTTGCTTGTTTTGTTTTGTGGTGTATCAACCTCAATGGGTTATTTAATGCCAACAAAATTTTTATTGCTGGTAATCATTCTTTTTCCAAAAATGTATTGCTGGTAATATTCTTTAAATGTATTGCTGATAATATTTTTCTTTTTCAAAAATGTACTGCTGGTAATAATTTTTCCCAAAAAGTATTGCTGGTTTTAAAACCTATTTTTATACTTTCATAGTGTTTTGACTTCTTTTTGGTGGTGGTGGTGGTGGTGGTGGTGGTGGTGGGGGGTTAACCATTTGCTCATAGCTGGCACCCTGACAGGTGCTACCACCCTAGGTCAGGGTGGACCTGCAAACACCAGCAATTAAGAGGTGGTTCCATGATCCTCAAAACCTCCTGATCAGAGGCCTTGCTGTTGCATGTAGTTTATTGTCTTACTCAGGACTGGCAACTTCTGTATCTAAAACAATAGTTAAATGTTCCATGAACGGATGAAAAATTTTGAGTCAAGAACTGTCATGCATGCAAATTTGAAAAGAAATGCACATTATTTGCAAATAAATAAGTTTTAATTTTTGCCAAATTAAAATAAAAAAAATGCAATTTACAAATTTAGAAAATGACTGAAAATAATATTCTTTCAGTTATTCTAAGAAATAATGAAAAGTATTACAGTTTCCTTCAGAAAAATAAAGAGGAATCCAAAATGTTTTTATCATTTAAAAACAAAAAATCAAATAAAAATTAGAAATTTGTATGCTAAATATTTGAAATATTTAATTTATATTAAATGTTTTATATTTTAAATATTTTCAAAGATACTTTAATTTGAATATTAAAAATTTTATTCTATTGGACCAAGCATTGTGAATGAAATTGTGTAGACAAAAATGTTCATATGTTATCAATCATTGTACTTGTATAAAATCAAAAGTTTACAACTAATGCCCTGATAGAAATTTAATGATGCTTGTCAATCTATCTGGAGATGGTGATTCGATAAAACTGCCTATTAGGTTGTATCAGCCTGAAAAATGAATAATGACTGAAATTCTTAAAGAAAAGGAATAATTCATTTAGGGTGTGGCATAAATTCCTTCCACATAATACTAACACATTAGTGGTAATGGTGTCGCCACCTAGCTAATGTCTTACCATTATGTGGGAGGTATTTCTACTGCACACTACATAACCTTGTAGTCTGCTCTAAGTGAAAATAGGATATTCTTTTCTATTTCTAAATGTGAAAATTTTTACATTTATTTTCCCAAGAGTAATTCAATAATTATTCTTTTATTTTAATATTTAAATTTATGAGCCTGCATTTTGTGTAAGTTAGTGGTCATTGCTACTGGCATTATTGGTTAGTGTTAGAAGCCAGATAGAACCAAAGAATTTCAATGCTTATTTTCTATGAGTTTAATAAATATGTTCAAAATGAAAATCACTAATCTTTTTAAATTGATCTGTCATGTAACAATGAATAAGAACTGGTCACTCGTTTTTGATTAAAACATTTTTTCAATTCAGTTGATATTACTAGTACAGTGATTCTCAACCACTGTGCTGCAACAGACTAGTGTGTCATGAAATATTGTAACAGCATATTGAAGAAATTGCGAAAAAACACAAGGCACAGATTTCACACAAAATAAGCTGCACAGATAGTTGAATAGAAACATTGAAATAAAGTAAGTTCATATTTGTGTGTGTATTTTTTTTTAAAAATACATTATTTCATAACATTTAAATGTATACGCTTTAAAAATTTAATTTTAAAAAATTTTGCTAAGTGTGCTGTATATTTTCATTTGCTTAAAATTTTTTAAGGTTGAGAAACAATAACAAAAATTACATGAAAGAAGTCAGATTAGTCTCCCTTGAACTAGACATTTCATTAAAAAAAATAACCAGAGTTATTTCCCTTTAATTGATATTTAAAATAATTAAATTTTTCTCACCTTTGAAAAAGTATACGTAATTTTAAGGCCATTTTCTTTTAATAATGAGCAAATTTATAATTTGAATTTCATACTTTTTGAACAAACATAAAGACGGGGTTAAGATTTGATTATGGTAGTGTAAATGTATAACTAAACTAACATCTAGGTAGATAGAAGGCCTGTTCAATGGGAGGTGCTTATATGCTGACATCACTATATGTAGTACAAACTCGGAGAAATACTTCCATTAGTTTTTACTGTTTGAATTTTCTTGACTCAGGTTGATTCTTTATTTGTTTTGTAAATATTTTCACTGAAATAATTTATGAAAATAAAAAAAAGCCGTACGAGTCAGACAATGATGAATCTATCAACCAAACCCCGTCAGACAGACTGATCACAACCTACAGAAACCCTTCTATGAGCAGCAAAAGTCAAAAACAATTTACACCCACTGTGATGGTCTGTAAAAGCTACATTACCAAAAGCTAAAGGACTATGTATTTTAATTATATATATATATATAAATATATAAATATATAAATATATACATACATACACACACACAGCTATGGGCAAATAGCTGGACAAACTTGGTTCTATAGCCTTGAGTGGCAACTAGTCTAGGAGAAACACAACTCTGAATTCAAAACCTGTGAAAGGTTGTTTGAGGACCTTGTGTTATGTTGTGTACAAGTTCTCTGTATTTGGGTCCTCCAAAAAGTGTAGTTGGTTCTGAACAAGTCTTCGCCACTATAACCAAATCTTATGTGCAGGTAGTCTGGCTGTCAGTTGCTAGGAACTGAGTTGCTTGACCCTCATACATTGAAAAACAACGAGAGAGTCCAGTGTATATATATTATTTTAATTCTCTTATAAAAGAGGCTTTAGGATCTTAACTTTTTGCTTATTATTGTTATTTTGGTGTTATATAGATGTATTTTCAACTAATATCTGTCTAAACTGTGAATGTGGACATGAGTGTTTCTTTAAGTGCTGTAAGATTGAACTATGCTCATCTAAGTGAAATGTAAACCTTCTCATCAGCATCGTCATTGTAAAACCAACATACATATTAACATTTTTATCAGATATGCAATTACCTAAAGAACATCTAAATTGATATATAATGTTAGCCTTTTGTATACACAGACAATTTAATCCAATGAAGATGGTCTCAGATGAGACTGAAAGTACTTAGGGAAATAAAAATTATTTGAAAGAAAATTTTAGTATTTTTCTTAATAAATTTTCTAAGGCTACTTAGAAATTGATTCGTGAACTTAAAAGGATTAAAACAAAAACAAACAGAAATGTCTAAATTATTTAACCAAACCTGTTTGAATGAATATAAGATAAAACAAAAAAAAATAACAAAAAATATATATAAAAACTAAAATAAAACTAAAAATATAATTACATCCTACTTCAAGTTCAGAGAAATAAAGAGAGATGTCATGTATAACTAAACCTTGTTAAAGGGCAGCAACTAGGGACTAGAGGGAGAGAAAAAGGGGACACTCAACATCCAGGCAGCAAAAAACGTAAAGAAGACTCGATTTGTCTTGCTAGCTCCCTGAATCCATACACACAGTTTGCTAATCAAAGCCATCTGTATACATCCTCACAACTAAAGAACCAAATACTATAATTACAGTTGAGTAAAACTCCTTAGTATTTGAGATGTCCCCCATAAGAGGAAAGTGCTAAAGAGGCTGGTTATTTTTTTTTTTTTAACTTTGGTCCCACATGAATTTTTATTATAAGTTTAGTTTTATGTACATTGTACTAGTGTCCTCATCTTTGTTGTTATCACAATCTTTCGGCCACTATATCTGCCAGTCTTCACCAGGAACTTGTTGGTCCAGGTAATCTTCAGGGAATTTCAAACTTGATTTAATCTATGGCGGTAGATCATTCTCGTTTCACTGACCATGTCTAGGGATATCTTATCATCAAGTTCCCACAATAGGCCTTGTGCCACACTTAGAACATAATAAATATTCTGATGAAAAATCTACTCTTTTCAAACTGAATAGTAGAGGACAAAAAGTTTATGTCAGTTTCTAGAAAGTTCCAGTAATTGCTTTTTTTTTTTCATCAGATGGGGATGTGCAGGTGGTGTAATAGCAGGTTGGAATGAAAAATTGAGACAGGTTCAATTTCCAGTCATGTTCGTTACATTCACTTATTTAAAAATACCTTTAGGAGAGCTATAAATCAATCTCTTCCCTCCAACTATGGGTTAAATTGTAGGATTTTTATCTGGAAAAATCATTGTTGTCTCTAAAAATTGTTAATGTAATATTCACTCATCAAAAAAATGAAAAGCAATTCTTACAAGCCAAAATATTTTGGCTTTAAGTAACTTATAAAGGATTGATAAGCTTTAAAAAATGCATAAAGGATTGATAAGCTTTAAAAAATGCATAAAGGGTTGATAAGCTTTAAAAAATGCATAAAGGGTTGATAAGCTTTAAAAAATGCATAAAGGGTTGATAAGCTTTAAAAAATGCATAAAGGATTGATAAGCTTTAAAAAATGCATAAAGGATTGATAAGCTGTAAGGAGCAAATCAGTCAATCAATCCTCAGACAACTCATTTTCCTTCAAGGTCAGTTCCCTTACCAATTCTAAAAACACACACAGTTAACATTTTTTAGTATTTAGTTTTGCACCAACAGTTGTCAAAAGTAAAGTATTAGTAATTTTTTAAAAATGTTATTTTTTTTAGTCTTTTAGTATCTGACCACTCTGACCAATATTATCATTCAATAAATCTGCTCACACAGTAAGAGTACTATAGAAATATTGATTTTTTTTTTTTTTTAAAATCCTACCTGTGCTATTTTTGGGTTTCATAAAAACAAAAATCAGGAATTTTCAATATGGATATTTCTTTTAATTTTTTGCTGATTGAAGTTTAGAAATTAGAAAGGAAACTGACTCAAGAGAAAAAACTGATTGTCATTTAAAAAGAAAAAAAGCAAAAGTAGCCTTTAGAGAAAAAAAAAATCAATCCTTATAAAACAAAAACAAATGGGGGAGGGGACACAAATGAGGAAAAAAAGAACACAAATAGGGAAAGAAATGCACACAAATGGGTTACTCCCACCTCCACCCCAACAAAAAAAAAAAAAGAAAAAGAAAAGACAAATAGAATATTGACTCACCGGAAGTGAATGCTTTTGAAGACACAGAAAATTTTGGTAGGCTGCATGGCAATATGATAAAAGTTGAAACCATACCCAACAACATGAAAAGCTAAAGAAGAAAGAAAAAAGTTCAAGATTAGATTACAACATTTTTGCAATTCATTATACAGGGTATATCCCTAAAATTGAGATCAATTTGTGGTCTAATAGCATAGCCAATTCTCACTCAAATGATCTCAAATTTTAACAAAATGTGTAAAACCTAACTGTGCAGACTTATCTCAATGAGAATCTACCAGGAAGATGGATCGATCGTGTCAGTGATAATAACAATGTGCTGTTGAAATGGCCACTATGTTCATCTGACTTGACACTTGTGTTTTTTTCCTATGGGGCTATGTGAAAGGAGAGATCTGTATCCCTCAACTTCCTACAAGCCAAGAGGAACTTAAGCAGATAATCACTGCGGTGCTGAAGAATGTTATGCAAGACATGCTACAGCGTGTTTGGCAAGAGCTGGACTACTGAATTGATGCGTGTCGTGTCACAGGTGGTACGCATATTGAACATTCATGAAGCTTTGTGTAATCAGTTATAAAATCTACATCCCTTGAATACCTTGTTTGGATTTTGATAAATAAATCTTTTATTGTTCAACATGAAGTCTATTTAATTTCGTTTGTCTGGGACATGTAGTTGCTCAGATATTCATATTTTAAATGGTGTCAAATTTTTGGAGGAATCTTGTATTTTCTAAGAAATAGAATATAATAAAGAGTTATATTACAAAAAGAATAAATCTATAAGATTTATAGCATATTTTCATGTTTTATATTGTAAAAAAAAAATAATAAAAGTTTTATTAACTCTTGTGGAAAGGCTATTAAAAAAGCAAGTATTAATTTTAATGTTAATAGTCTCGTCCTATTTATGGAATTTATATAGGAATAATTTTAAGAGGGGAGATTACTCGGTAATTAATCTCAAATTTCATTTAAAATTTATGGTTAGTTTTGTTTTTTGTTTTTTTCTATAAATGCCTAATCGCCCAAGACATGCCACATGATGAGCACACCAAGAAACCATTTGTGAAGACCCCATCTATGGCACACAAACGAGATAGATGGAGGAGAATGGTGGACAGTATGTTTGGTGCCCTAGCGACTCCTCCCGAGGCTAAATGCGAAAAAAAATCAACAAGAGTCTAGCGTTAAATGAACAGACATACTTACAATTTAGTAACATTTTTTTCAATTTTTGTTTGAATTTCTTTGATGAGAAGTTACCATTATTTACATTATTTACTCTTGAACTATTGTTCTCATTTTTGTTGTTAATATCACATTTCAACCATTGTGACCTCTAGTTTTCACTCAGGTACTTGCCTAGGTAATCTTCAGGAAATTTTAATCTGAACCCTTTATTTACTGAAAGTTGGGGGAAGGGGAGGTTAGATCAGATATTGAGATTCCTGATCCTATACTTTTAATCTGATCCTATCGTGAAATGAACATATTTTTTGTAGATATATCAGGTCATCCCATAAGTTCTGTCCCTATTTTGAATAAAGAAAACAAGTGACCAAATGTCACATTTAATTACAGATTCAATCAACAATGTATTTTCCCTGATTATTTATGACTTCCTTCCATCTATTAACAAGCCTACTAATTCCATTACTGTAAAATTCTTTTGGCTTTGATTCGAAGAACTCACAAATGTCAGTTTTAACCTCTTCCTGTGTTACAAAAGCTGTTTCTTCCAAATGATTCTGTAAGCTACAAAACAAATGGTAGTCTGAAGGAGCAAGATCAGGAGAATAAGGTGGATGAGGAATTTTCTCCCGACCAAGTTCTTGATCTTTGTGACGTGATTCTTGCTGTGTGGGTGCGCATTGTCCTGATGAAACATCACCTCTTTTCGATTCACTAGAGCAGGTCTTTTTTCCTCAAAGCTTAGTTCAAATACTCTAATTGCTGACAGTATATTTGAGTGTTAATTGTTGGATTAGGTGGTAAGAATTCAAAGTGGATTATTCCTTGGCGATCCCACCAGATTAAAAGAAGAACATTTTGCCCATGAAATTCCCTTCTTGACTGTGGCTGGCGTCCTTCTCCTTTACAAAGCCACTGTCTACGATGCTTAACATTTCGATAAAAGATCCATATTTTGTCACCAGTCACAAGTCTATCCAAAAAAGGTGAAACAAGTTGGTGAGAATGGAGAAAAGAGCAGATGTCAACTCGGGATTTGAGGTTGTTTTCAGACAATTCATGAGGCACCCATTTTCCAAGTTTAGGAACTTTACCAAGTTGTTGAACATGACAATGAACAGTTGTATGGTTTGAACTGAGAACCACTGCCAATTCCTCAACTGATAAAGCACGATTTTCTTCAAGGGCTGCTTCAAGAAGCTTTTCATCAAACTCAACTGGACGTCCGGTTCAATCTTCATCTTCAAGGGTGAAATCTCCACCTCTGAATTTTGCAAACCATCTTCTGCAAGTTCTTTCATTCACACATTCCTCTCCATAAACTGAGTGAATATTTCTAGCCGCTTCGGCTGCTGAGTTTCCTTTCTTGAACTCATAAAGCATTATGTGCCTCAAATGATTCTTGGGTACTTCCATGTTAGAAGGGTTTTTAATCAAACAAAATTTAATTTTATTGTTCTCTGAAATAAAATTTGATCAGTTTAAATGCATCTAAGCATAAAAATAATGTTCAGCTCCATTAGACATTATAAAATACTCTTTAAATTTTATTCATTTTAAAAAAAGTAAAATTCGGACAGAACTTATGGGATGACCTGATATTTTTCTGTTTTAAACAATTTTGTTTTAAATTACTTTTTTTTTTTTTGCTTTTTGATTTATGGAATGAGACCTATAAATTTTTTTTTTTTACATGTAAGGCTTATACATAAATACAAAAGTTTCAGAAACTACTGTTTTGGAAAAAATATACAGCTCAGTTCATTGCCATAGGTTGATGCCAAGAAGAGAAAATTGTTTTCAGCAAAAAGTGTTTGGGTGTGGTTTCAGCTCTTTCAAGATCTTTATATACTGCTGTGGATGGACTAATGTTTACCCATACACCATAGACTACCAATACATGTATATAGCCTAACTTTATAATGTTGTAATATTAAATGTATTAATTGTTTTTGTTTTTTAAGGTTTACCAACCCTTTGTGGTTTATTTAAAGCTGAAACATATTTTGGATGGTAAGAATAATTTTCGTTTTTTTGCAAGTGAATATTGTATTAACAATATTTTTGGAAATGTGGGTTCCAATCCTGTGTATAGGAATGACTGCAAAAGCATCCCCCTCCTCAAAATGTACAGATGCATGCTGGGATTTCTTCCTCGTCAATAAGATAGGCCTCTTCTTGGTCTCATCTGCCATATTTCTGTTCTTTCTTGTCTTGAAGTCAAAACGCTGCGATCATTTGTCTGTATCCCTTTTGTATGTAACACCATTCTTAGTTTGTGAGCCTTTTGCTGCTTTACCTAGTTTTGTCTTGTATATATTATTTGTTTAGTATTATTTTTGCCTTGTTCTGTTTCTTTCTTTTGTTATTGCTGATTGAAAACTTTGCCAATTCTGTTTGTTGGGCATTTCTGCCAATTACATTTAACCATGGCCATTTACTCTACAGGTTATGAGCCCAGAAATAGACTCTGTTTCAATGGAGACAAATCTATATATGAACTATGGGAAATAAATTATGTAGGATACATGAGAATCCAAAAATTAAATAATCTTAGCACTACACAATCATCCCAATGATGAAGATTACTGGGAAAAGAATTCTAATGTATTTGGCCAAGTTAATTCAATTTCCTAATGACTGAAAGAACAATGATTTTTCCAGATACAATTTTTATTATTTAACCCATAGTTGAGGAGAGTAGAGAGATTCATACCTTGCCCAGGGGTATTTGCATGCAAGTGATTGTAATGAACTCAAGTGGAATTGTATTGTAAGTATTAATGTTTTTTCCACCAAAATAACATTATATACATGAATCCTTTGATTAGTGCAGTTAATGTGTACATTAAAATATACACATTAATCGAATATGACTTATAGGAAATGATGTACCATATATACTTGAGGATAGGTCACACCCCTACTTTATGTCTTAATAATTGATGATTTACTGTTGACTCGCAGATAGGTTGCACTATAATCTGGAGAGTTAAACTTTTTTAAACATAAGAATTATCAGATATCTACCTTTTATTTTAAAACTTACAATCATTAATAGTACAATTCTGCAGTTAAAATACATTTCGTCAATCATCATGTAAACAAAAGGAAGTCAACTGTTGTACTGGTATTTTCATATACAAATATTATTTACCCCATAGCTGGGGTGAGAAGAGATGGATCTTTACAGCCTATTTACATATAAATGAATATTAAATGTAAATGCTATCAACTATAATAAATGATAAATATCCATTAGTCTTTTAATAAGAAATTTAATCCATACCCCTACTTTGGAGAAAAAAGCCAAGTGAACTTGCAAAGATCAGTAAGACTGGTTTACTTACCCGTAAAAGCAAGTGCTGTCCAGGCAACAATTTTATGAAATGCAACATGCGAATCAAACGGAATGTAAAGGTTAAGGAAAGTTCCTCTTAAAAAGGTGATAAAATTTCGACACATTGTGATCAGAAGAAGGGAATATGTAAAAGACATCCCAGCAGCTGCCCCTCGAGTGACACTCAGGCCATAACTCATTATTTGGCGGAGACCACTCTTTTCACGTTCAACTGTATAATCTGGAAAAAGAATTTGTAATAAAAATAATCGTTATTAACAGTTATAGCTTAGAAAACACACACACACACACACACACATATATATTATATGAATATAAGATATTGCACATTGAGAGTTGGGGTTAGTAAAATAGTGCTCAATGTAATATAACAGAGCTATTAAGTATATATTAATAAATATACATATTCCTTACTGGTAGCATGACTCAGAGTTTTATGCACAATGCAATCTTCAGGTGCTGGATAGAATCTCTACCTAACAGCTGAAGATAGAGCTTAGATCTATGTAAACTGATTAGCAACAGGAATTTTATTTCATACTATTTTTTTATTTTATTTTACTTTATTTTTTTTCTTCTTACTTTCTTCTTTATTATGAATAATATCAATGAAATGCATTTCAGTCAATATTTTGAGGCACTAAGTTAAAAGAATGAAAATGATGCACTATGAAAGATTTGGGTGTATTTTAATAAAGTCAGCCAGTGCTTTTATCCACTGGGTCATGTGAGTTCAATCCAAGGCCTCAGCAAAGAGAACAAAAACTTGGAGAGTTAAGTTATTGAGGAATTAACTAAAACTGAGACATCCAAAGGCATGGCCTGTGGAATTAGAACAATCTACCCCAATGTAATTAAATATTTTTTTCTATATTTATGTTTTTTTTTTAAATTTATTTTGGAAATGACAGGAAATGAATAGTTGTTGGGAATGGGCTACAGCCCCTGGCATTCACAAGTGGTCACCCTTCTAGGTACTGATGATGTTTGATCTTGCTTAACTTTGGTGATCCTACGAGAACAGTGTTTCCATGTGATATGTCCTTAAACAATCACTGAAAAATTTTTATCCTGATGTACTTTTCAAATTGATATTCCAATCATAATACCAATTATTTTCTTCATTTTATGATACGAGTTTTAAGAATTTGAAGCCTTTATTTGCAATTAATGTTGTATAGTATACACATATTGTTTACCTGTCTTTGCAGTATATTAGTGGAAATATGTGTCTAGTAGTTTATGTTCATTATTAAGCACACAAATGGCACTTTCATCAAATAGATGGCAAGTTAATCTATGTGATAGGGTGAGTGTTTAATAACCAACATATGAATTATATATTTGTGCATCATAGGGCACATCTCAATAAACTACTTTTTCAAATTTGTACAGATTAGAGTCATCTGATTTGGAAATTGTTGATAATTTAGAACCTTTCATTACTCTTCAGTATCAAACACAACACAACAGCCATTGTTAGGCCAGTGGGTAATTTTCAACTCCTAAAATAAGTGTGCCAGTTCATATAAATTTTCATTTGGGACATTTCGATTATCAATCCTTTGTGGGTTATTTAAAGCTTAAACATATTTTTGATTGTAAGAATATTTTTTCTCTTGAATATTTTAAAATGAATATTGCATTTACAACTTTTGGGGTATATAATGATTTTTCCAGACAATTCCTACTATTTAACCCATAGCTGGGGGAGTCACATAAAGGACTTTTTAATTCCAGGAACAAAATATTTGTGCAGCAGATAAAATTATTTGAAAAATAATAAGCGTGTCATGCCAAATAAACAACATGCCCTGGGGTGTTGAAACTGAAGAAAATAATTTAATCCTTCCAACACTTGTACATAAGAATACCTGGTGTTATTTATTGTTTTTGAGGATATTTGAAGTATAAATTGATTGAAACTATATTCAAAACAGCAAATTGATGGATATTGATCCAAATAATTGATCGAATAATGAGTTTTGATTTATGATTTGGAAACAAAAATAAATGTTTACTTACAATAAAATCGTTCAGCAAAAAGTCCACATGTAACTGCATAGAAGAGGATGATGAAAAAAATATGTTGCTTGTTGTTCTCCAAGAAATGCCGCAAATGTTTCAGCTTGGATCTGAACGGGGAATATTTCTCAAAGGCGGTAAAATTGCTATACAGCTTATTGTCAGCATTAGGATCTTTTTTAATACCATCAACTTTAATTTCTGACCTGAGTAAGAAAGAAATAAAAGATTAGAAAATAAAAAAAAAAAATTATTTACATTATTCGGACTGTTATCCTCATCTTCATTGCCATATTCACAATGTTTCAGTCGTTGTATGCTCCGGCCTTCTCCAGGTGATTGGAATTTTGGACCAAACCCTTTATTTCATCCACCAGGGTAGATTGTTCTAGTTCCACGTGCCATGCCTCTTCCAGATGTCTCAGTTATTTTCCTTTAACTTAACTCTCTGTAATAATCTACCCCGGTGGATGAAATAGATGGTTTGGTTTAAAATTCCAATCATCTGAAGAAGGCCGGAGTGTACAACAGCCAAAACGTGAATATGGCAATGAAAATGAGGATAATAATCCGAATAATGTAAATAATCATAATACCTTATCTCAGATATATAGACAAATCCAGATATTTATGTAGACATTAAACCTAAGTAAGAAAGAAATAAAAGATTAGAAAATTAAGAAAAAAAAAACATAAACCAAAAGTCAATACAAAAGTGATGATTTTTGATTAAAATTGTACAAGAAATTAAAAGAAAATAGAGAACCAGGAAGTAAAAATTTAAATTTAATTCAATGTAAATAATGTAAACAATGTAATATTGAACTTTAGTAACAAATTTTATTTGAACAAACTGAATTCTATTTTAGAACAGATTTCAAAATCAAGCAGTCAACATTGCCAAAAATATTTTATTAGAAAAAGACAAAACTTTAAAAAAAAAAAGATCAATCAAAGGAATTTTAACTTACAAATTCTTTTTTGCAGGGAAACATGCTTTGGGAGCTGAAAACGAAATTAAGATTTTTTTTATAAAAATTTTATTTTTCAAGACAAGAAAGACATCATAAAAATCTATTGTAGTTCATGGAATATATGATCAACTTTTTATTTTCTTTTTTTAAATATCAGAATTTTACAAATTTGTAATAAAGGTGTTGTATCCTATCGGCACTCCTACATTTTTTAAAAACAACAGGAAGAAAATGCTTAACCATTGATCATTGTAAAACTGATTCAGGTATCAAAAGACCTCAAAAGCAATGAGAAGGAAAAAAAGAAAAAGATTAGAAGTGTTATATTTCATGCTAACAGAAACATATACTTGACAAACATGGTAGATAAAATAAGTAAAGGTTTATTGTAAAAAAACAGTACAATATGAATAAAGGTAACAGTTATGCACAAGTCAATCCAGTAGTGAGTGCTACTATTGGAAGGTCAGTAGTTCTCATGTAAATCTGAGTCATACTCAACAGATCCCAGCTAGTCTTTGTAGTCCGTTGACTTACAGATACTTATAGGTAGTTACTACCTATAGTGTAGTCACTTATGGGGATGACTGGTTATTCCATTACATCAAGAAGGAATAGAAAAAAAGGAAAAAGTGAAATCAATATCTCCTGGTCATTGAAAGTCTTTAAGAAAAAAAGAAATAGTTACACACTTTTAACCAGGCAAACTTTCACTGTCTTACCCTGGTGGTTCTTAGAGCAAACAAGGCTCAATTAAAAAGAGTGAGTTAGCCATAAAATATTATTTTTACAAAAGGTCTGCTTTGCTCTGTGGCAAAAGGATAAAGGGACACCTGTCTAAACTCTGCTTTCCCAGAAAATTATTTGTGGTCTTCATAAAAAAAACAAACCTTTTCTCATATACAGTCACACAGAGGATTTATCATTATTTTAATTACCTTTCCAGTCAATTGTACAATTCCATAATTTGTCCATCTGTGGTGAGAGAATATGACAAAAATCTTCAAAGTTGAATTCAGTTTTCCCTTCTAATCCTGTTTCTTTAATCATTGAATCCATCAAAGCATTAAGTTCAGTTTCATTTAATTTGCTTTGACTCATCTCAAGAAGTGACCTAAAAAAACAAATTTCATAAATTTAATCAATAAATAAAATAAAAGTTAACACTTCTACTGATGTGGATGTACTTAATTATCATTATGAAACTTACTCATTTGACCTAAACAACAAAAAAAATTATCTATTACAAAAAATTTAAAACCGCTAAGCATATACTCCAAAATAACATACCTGCAAAATCAAATCTACAAAGAATCAACATTATTTACAAGTTTAAATGCCTTTAAAGGAACTGTGTTCTTGATGAAACCAAGCTCATAAATAATTACATCGGTCACACTACTATCCAGACAATTTACATTACAGCTAGCTGATCACAGCTCGATTAGAACTCATTTAAACACACATACAAACCTACCAGTTGCCATCCAAAACATACTAGTAGAAAATACAAGCTTAATAACCTCATCCACAAGTGAAAAAAAAGATTAAAAATAGTGGAAGCCCTAATAATAAAAATGAAAAGTCAATACTAACTACGAACATGGCCACAATGTGCTGACTGTGTTTGTAAAATAATACATCCCTATAACTCTAGAAGCATACACACAACCCATACATCCAGTGAAAAAGTAAAAATAAAATCATCCTTGATAATAGGTAAAAGTATAGCCGATTGCGCTTAGAATTACAGAATATTTGGACAGTTTTTATACACTTTGTATCCATAAAAGAAAACACTTGCTTGAACATAAAAAATTTAAATAATAACAATACCTTGTCAGTTGTCTTAAACGAAATGCATGTGAGTAGTGTGTGCGTGTGAGCACACATGAATATGTGTGTGTGTATCCAAAAGCAATTGCAGTAATGAAAACTGGGGAATCCAAAATTTCAGGATTGTGCCACTGGATCTGTTCCAGAATATTTTTAATCTGCTCACAGAGTCAGCCTGATTCTAAAATGGTAGGATATATTGGGCTATGGCCTCTAGGAGTAAAGGTGAAAAAGTGTGACACAGTGACATTCACATTTATTATATATATAGTTTTCATTACTGAAATTGTTTTGCGATTCACATATACACACACACATACATACATACATATGTATGTATATATGTATGTATGTATATGCGCACATGCACATATGTACTCCACAACATCTCCATTTTCATAAGGTAGTATTCATTTAAAATACAAATTTTATTGTAACTGTTGCAATGTAAGCAAAGAGTGTGTTGAGATTGCGAGGGGTGGGCGGGGAACAACACCTAGCTGATTTCTCTCCCACCAACTACAGGGATAAATAGGCAGAGAGGGGAAAGAGATAAGAATAAACAAAAATAACAAACATTTGTTGCAAACCCAGCAATTTGAGGAACAAAAATGCCCATGGGACCAACTTCACAAGACAATGGGTCTTGCCAAGTGCTTTGCTAGTTTTTCCCCGCTGCTTTTATTAGCATGAGGCATCTTAAAATGACCAGGATCTTGACCAGTTGCAAAGAGGCCTGTATCTAGATATACCAAACTGTCCTGCTGCTAACAGGAAAATACCCAGATGTAACTGGTGTTGACAAACATGTCTGCATGTGATCTGAAGCCTCTTTTGTGTCTGTACTGATACGAGTTTGCCACTGTAACCTAATTATGTACAATAATGGATCATATGAAATAAAGGTGAACAATTCAACTAGAAAATTTGAAAATAAATGCAATGTATCTAAATACAAATTAGAGTTAAAAAACGTTGCCAAGTCCTTGTGGGAGACAAATTATTTTCTACCCCCAACTCAAAGGTGGGATGTGGCGAGACACTCACTGCTCTATTCCATAGAAAGTGCTTGGATGAACTACATTCCTTGGTTCAGGCTGGTATAACCTTCATGGCTAGGACCCAGCATGCTGCTTACATTGTAGTAAACCACCCACATTCCCTCTGTATTCCATTGGTGAGAAGCAAGTACCACTCAAACAGCTGTGCCTCCGTGAACCACTGCTCTGTGGAACAAACTCCCAAGAGGATGTTTCTCTGATCACTACAGTCTTAACCATTATCTTCCCTTCCTATCCATATAAACTACCCCTTAAAGTAACTCTTTAATAGGGCAATCCTTACTGAAAAAAAATCATAATAGATCATTCCATCTTGAAATCAACAATTTTGCGGCATTTTTTTTTTAGATGAATTTGAGATTTTTCTTGTTAAAAAGTTAAAAAAATTTTAGCACATTCAACATGACATAAAAAAATGAATCTTATATAAGGTTTTTTCGAGACTTAACATGAGCAAAACAAATTCATGGATTTGGACAAAAAAAAAGAAAGAAAACAAACCCAGAATGACGTCAAAATCCATGAAAATGTTTCATCCTTTACTAGTCAGTTGTATTTAGTTTAATTTGTAACATAAATATAGGCAGAAAAAAGCAAATGTTAATAAGATAGTTAAGGTCACAAAGTACTGCCTGTGACCCCCAATCAACTGACCCAGATTGGGGGTGGGATTCGAATGTAGCATGCACTGCACTGGCACTGATCTGACTCATGGTCTTTTAAAAACAAGCATTACTTAACAGGATTTTACAGAGGCCAATTATATAAATAGAAAATGAATGGGATCAGAGAATAAAACTAGGAAGGTGTAAATTTTTAACAACTGCAGAAGTATATCAGGTATATAATTGTTAATTTTTTTTTTTAATCATTTCACCCCAAGCAGGAGTGCCACTAGTATACAAGGTGTTACAGGGAGTGAAAGTGAGAGAAAAGATTGGATATAGGGTGGATAGAGGAAAAGATAATGGCAATTGATGTTGAATTAAAATTTTTGAAGATTGTAGTTATCAGGGTAGCAAGGGAGTTTCACTGTTGGGAAGTGCCAGAAAATAAACAGTTGGAGTTGAAGTGGTGGTTGCATTTAAGAATTTCAACAGTAAAAGAGTGGGACCTTGGAATTCATATAGTTGGGACACAAGGGAAAAAAGCTTGTCAGAGCAGTTGCCATGAAAATATTTGTAGAAAAGACAGCGGGAAGCCATATCACATCTGTGAGAAAGTGACTGAAATCGAGATGCCAAGTCAGTATGGATTACATTGCATATTCTCCTATGGATTTTGTCAAGAACCTCTAGATGAATAGCAGGGGCACCAGACCAGATATAGCAACAGTATTCGATGCACTGATGAATGGTAGATTTGTAGATGTGTAAAAATGGACGTGAAAATTATTTCAGAGACTCAATGTGAAATTTTCTACAAACTTACTGGAACATACTTGTCAACTGATGTTTGTTTAATGAGCCATTTGAATCCAAATCATACATGCGAAAAAACATACGTAGTTTGTCTTGGCAAGTGCCTGTGAATAGAAAAAAAATATTTGTAATAACCAGAAAAAAAGATTACAAAAATGCAGAATACCCACCTAACACTCTAAATAGATAGCCATGATTTTTGTTTAGGTAGGATTGGGATTAATTGCAAACAAAGTAAGGTGGGTTCTGCCTGACAAAGGACTTTTCATAATGATTTGAGGGAAGGTTTTACATAACCAGATGCTCTTACCTGTCTGTATTTCTGAGATGATGTATTATGTACACTATTTACATTATTCGGACTATTGTCCTCATCTTTGTTGCCATATTTATTACAATGTTTTGGCACTTCAGTATCTGTCTATATTTCTGAGATGAGGTATTATTTATACTATTTACATTATTTGGACTATTGTCCTCATCTTTGTAACCATATTTATCACAACATTTCGGCCGTTGTATGCTCCAGCCTTCTTCAGGTGGTTGGAATGTTGAACTGAACCCTTTATTTCGCTCACTGGGGTAGACTCTTCTAGTTCCATGTGCCATGTTTAATGGATATCAGTTATCTCCTGTTAATTATCCTCTCCAAGTTCTCCACTGCCTTAACCAGGTATTGAATTCACACTCATTTGTTAGATCCAGTGACAGGACTCAAAGAGTGTGAATTCAATACCTGGTTAAGGTGGTGGAGAACTTTGAGAGGGGAATTAACAGGAGATAACTGACATCCATTAGACATGGCACGTGGAACTAGAACAGTCTACTGCACCTGAAGAAGGCCGGAGTGTACAACGGCCGAAACTTGTGATAAACATGGTGACAAAGATGAGGACAATAGTCTGAATAATATAAATAGTGCAGATGCTCTTACATCTTTTAACAATGTTCACGGTAGTCCAAGTACATTGAGTGTTTTTATCAAGACCCCCATCTTTAGGGAGGCTGCCATTCAAGGCTTGAGACCACATATATGTAATCAACACACTTAGCCAATTGCAATTTGGTGAGGTTATCTAGCCCATAGTTGCTGTTTTGAATTCAGAGTTGTCATTCTCTTAGGCTGGTTGCCATCCAAAGCTATAGGACCCCGTCTGTCATACTATTTACTCCTAGCTGGGAGGAGAAGAGAAGAGATTCATACCTTTCCGAAGGGTATTTGCATGTAAGTGAATGTAATGATCTTGACTGGAATTTGAACTCAGCTCTCTGATTCCTCAATCTGAACCCCTATCCATTACTCGACTGTGTCTCTATGCACACATATTTTGGATACTTATTTATTTTTGACTGAATTTATTTATGAAAAGGAATTTTATAAAGAAAGATTTATGGAAATTTAAAGACAATTTTAACCAGACTTTAATTTCTTGAGCTCTTCAAGAAACTTCAATGAATTGGCTTATCTATTGATCTAACGCATTCATTTCTGGTGAAAAAAAGCATAAAATAACTTCCATTTCACGGTGTGAAACTTGTTTGAAATGGAATTCTGATGGAATTTAAAGAAAGAATAACAAACCAATCAGAAAATGAGAATTATCCTGAAAATAAAAAAGTCAAAAGGAAACAAAGATTCTTGGAATCGTTTGTATTAGTTAAGTACTGAGCATCCAAGATTTAAGACTAAAAAACTAATGTACAGATTATATAAAATTTTTGCTGAAATTGATTGAAATTAAGTCTTTCTGGATTGGTGAGGTTCTAAATAGTCAACAAAATGTACTCTAAAAAAAAAAAAAAAAAAAAAAAAAAAAAAATCAAATTTGCTAGGTGGAACCAATGTTAAAAATTAAATTGAAAAATAAAAATTAACCAACCTTTGGTGAAGAGAACAACAATGTTGATAAACTCTTTAATAGAAATGTAATTATTCTTGTCAGAATCTGCTTGCATAAACATTCTTTCAACAAAGTCAGAATCGATTTTCAGTGCAAGGGATTCAGCAAACTCGGCCTGAAAATATTTAACACAGAAAGCATAAAAAGCATAACAATTTTTAATCTGATAAAGAATAAAAAAAAACAAGAATGACAAAAAAAATATTATAAAACCGAAATATCAAGAAAATGAAAGGTGGAGTTATACAATAGGCTACGTGACCAGAAATACTTATTTTTTTCAAAACACTATAGATTAAGAACTTCAAAAAGAATACCAAAAAATAAATGTTTTATTATAAATTTTATAGATGTTAATAAGAGGGTTCAATCTACCATGAAAATTCATTGTAAATTGATCCCTCTTACGGAAAAAAAAAGATGCTTTGATATCTTCTTTACATGCAATGTTGACTCAAGATGTAGGTGATAATGGTTCACTACAATTTCTTGTCCTTTGTAGCTCTTAGTAAATTTCGTCTTTTTCTTGTTTCTTCCATACCGCCATCCATTTACTTGAGCTCACTAAATATGTTATGTGTTGTTTTCCTCTGTACCTCTTGCTTTCAATCTCTCCTGTGAGTATCAGATTTTCCAAGCCTTCTTTCCTCATTATATGCCCTAGATATTTCAACTGTCTCTTCCTGTTGTTAAGTATGTTTCCTTTTTGTTTCCATTTTCTCTAAAACTTTCTCGTTGCTCACATGTTTTGTCCATGGTATCTTCAGCATCCTTCTATAGAACCATATTTCTGTTGCTTCAAGTCTCCTTTTCATCTTTGAGAAGATTGTATATCCTGAGTGTTAAATTCTCTAAGTCCATTTTCCTCATTATGTGATCCAGAAATAGCACTTTTTTTTTTTTGATTGTAAGTTTTCTTGTTATTTGTATTTTCCTACAGCAAACATGGAAATTTGTGTCCTCCAAAAGTGTCAAAAAGACACCATTTTTATTTTAACTATTCCTTGGTAATGTTGTTTTAAAAAGCAAAGATTAGAACTCTAAAAAACCTAAACATATAACAAAAGAGAATTTATACATTTGTTTTTGTTCTTGAGAATTTACAACAAAAATATTGAACACAATTATCTTTAAGCTTGTTTATTTACAAGAATAATTTTATATTTACAACATTCTAAAAACTAACAGAATTGTATTAAAACTCTTGCAATGCAATATTTATCATTTATCAATTTATAAAGAAATAAATATGAAAACAATTTTTTTATTCATAAATTTATAACTTTTACTAAATTATTCAAATATGTGAACCAACTATAAGGGAATCTGTATTATTTACTATTTTATAAAGTTTGAATGAATTGACAATTAATCGACACATATATCAAATGTCAGTTAATAACTAAGATTTACATTGCATAATGTTTGTCTATGTCATTAATATTCAGCATGGAATTAAGTGCATTAACAATGAATGAAAATTTTGTTAAAAAATAAATATTATGTGTGCATAAGGTGAAAGACATAACTACAGTCACTTTCTCACCAACGTAACATGGCTTCCCTCACTCTTTTCTACAAATATTTTCATTTCAAGCTTTTTTCCCCTGGTACCCCAACTACGTGAATTTAAGTGCACTACTAGATTGGCATCTAGGTCCCACCCTTTTATTGTTGAAATAGTTAAATGTAACTGCCACTTCTACTCCAACAGTGGAACTCTCTTTCATTTACTTGCTTCCCTGATAACTACAATCTTCAAAAATTTAAATGCAATGTCAATCTCATACATCTTTTATCCTTTCCTCAATACCCCCTATACTCAGTCTTTTCTCTCACCTTCATTCTTTGTAACTCTCTGTGTACTAGTAGCAATCCCGCCTTGCTTGGGGTGAAATGATAAAAAAAAAAAAAAAAAAAAAAAAAAAAATTAAAAAAAGAAGGGTATAAAAGTAGATACTACCCCAAAAATATGATACCTATATACTGAATATCAATTCAAACTTTTTTTTTTTTTTTAATTGTTTCACCCCAAGCAAGGTGGGAATGCCACTAGTATGCAGGGGGTTACAAGGTGTGAAAGTGAAAGAGAATGAGAAGACTGAATGGGGAGCATTGAGGAAAGGACAAAAAAAATAAAAATGGAGCTGATTTCAAGAAGACATAAGATGGTGACTGACATTGCATTTATATTATTGAAGATTGTAGTTATTAGGGAAGCAAGACATCAGAAGGGAGCTCCGCAGGTGGAGAATGTGAGAAAAAAAAAAACTGTTGGCATAGAAGTGGCAGTTACATCTAGCTAGTTCAACAGTGAAACGGTAAGACTGAGTTGCCAATTGAGTAGCATGCTTAAATTCATGTAGTAGGGATACCAATGAAAAAAGCTCATCAGAGATGTTGCCATGAAAATATCTGTAGAAAAGACAGAGGGAAGCCACGTCACATCAGCGAGAAAGTGACTGTACTTGAGATATCTGGTCAACATTGCAGATCCTTCTTTGGATTTTGTCAAGAATCTTGAGATGTACAGCAGGAACACCAGACCAGATATGATGCCAGTGTTCAACACATGGACAAATGGTAGATTTATAAATGTGCAAGATGGATTCTGACAAGAAAAATTTTTTGGCATGTTACAGTGAACCAACTTTCCTTGCAGGAGATGTAGCAATTGGTTTATTATAGTTTCTCCACTTCATATCATTTTACAAAATATATTTATGGGTGTACATATATTTTTAAGATGGAACATATGATGAAAGGTATACATATATTTTTAGAGTTCTCGTTAGCAATAAACATTTTTGTCTTTGGAATTTTATTTTTTTAAAATTTTCACAACAAAAATATGATTTAGCTTCAATGCTAAATACTTATACTTACTTTGGTCATTTCAAATTCTAAAAGTTCTTTGGTCTGCTTGAATTCAACGTGATCTAAGGATGGATCATAGTCCAAATGGAAAGCCTGTATAACAAAATATTAACTCAGTTATCATAAATTGTATAAATTTATTGTTTATATATATATATATATATATATATATATATATATATATATATATTATATATAATTATATATACATACACATATATATATATATATATATATATATACAGGCTGTCCCATAATGATGGGACACATTTTAAATGCAAGTATCTTGGATTATAAAAATCACAGAGTACCAAATATATTTTTAACGAAAATCTGCTCTGGACTGTAAAATTAAAAAAAAGCAATAGAACCATGACATTATTTAATTAGAAAAGCTTTTAATTGTTTTTATAAATAGGATATATTAAGGACAAAAAAAAATATTTTTTGATGAATAATTAATTTTATTTTTTTTTTTTTTTTTTAAATTTATTAAGTTTTAAATCTTATAAAATTCTGTATTAATTTCAGCCTTTAGATCATATTATTAACTGAAAATTATATTTTGTGCTGGGCTTAAAAAGCAAATTACCCAAAATTTCAACTTACAACTTTACAGCAGATAAACCCTTCGCAAAAGTACATCCTCTTGCAATTCCCGATTGCGACCCCTAATTACTACGCGCTATTTATATTTATTTATGAAAGATTCTTGATGTCTACTGTTGGACAGTCAAATTGAACATGATCAACCAGAGAAAAGTACTCCTATTTATATCCCATTTTTGGTATCTGATTGCAGTGATTGAATTCTTGTTAATTAGTCTGATATTATAGGAATTATTTGATCACATGCAGAATAGAAATATAAAGTAATCATGTGTAATTATTACCAATACAATTGGATTAGCTGTGAAACGGCTGAGGTGTTAAAATTTTGCAAAATTTGTGCTGTTTGATAATCAAAATCAAGGTAAAACGTGTGAAAAAGGGGTGTAATTATTAAAACAAATTAGGACCCATCTGATGATCACTGTTTGTTCTGCCTATCATGAAAACAATGGCCCAGAAATTGATAAAATAGGGTGGAATTTCTAAAAAAAACTGAGCGATATTGAGTGAAATCTTTGGGTCTATGATACATCAGGCACCATGGTAAACTGGTTTGCCTAATAGTGATGGACTACTGTAATAATAAGTGCATGACCTCAATATCTCATTTTCCAGGCCTGTACTCTGGAAAGGTCACTTCATTTTCAACACCAAAGGACTGAATTTTGACCAGACAGGGCATTACCTTTATCTCAAGAGATAAACGGATGCTTACTATAACAATATAATTTGAAGTAATAACAAGAAGACATGAGACCTTTAGAAGGCTTTAATGAACTAACAAGATGGCTACATTCTATTGAAGAGTTAACAACAAAGGGAGGTTATTAATAGTAAGTCAAAAGGAAAAGACCTCTTCCTGAAAAGAAGAGACATGTCTTCTGAATACCACATAATTATTCTTGAGTAGATTTTAATCTTTTCTGATTCTGTTTACAAGTCTGATAATAATTTTTCTGTTTTGTCCTTTTATTCTTTGGTGACAAAGAAAAGAGAACTGATCTGCTATGTAACATTTATCCTCCTACATGGCAGTGAATTTTGAACAGTCTCCTCAAAGATGAAGAAGAGACTCAAGCAGCAGGGATGTGGTTCTACAGAAGGATGCTAAGAATATCATGGAGTGGGCATGTGAGAAACGATGAGGTCTTGGAAAGAATGCAAACAAGGAGGAAGCTTATACTTAACATAAAGAAGAGGCAGATGAAATTTCTGGGACATGTAATGAGAAAGGAGGACCTGGAGAATCTGATACTCCCAGGTTGAATAGAGGGAAAAAGAGACAAGGGAAATCAATGCATGCCATACCTAGCAGGCTTAAGCAAGTAGATGGCAGAATGTGGCCTGGGTGAGTTGGCAGAGGCATGAAACTTATTGAGAGCTATAAGGGGGAAATGGAGAGCCATGATCGCCTACATCTTGAAGGGACATGGCACATAAAAAGAAGGAAAGAAAAAAAGAAGGAAAGAAAAAAAAGAAAGAAAGAAAAAAAAGAAAGAAAACAAACCTCAGAAAAGACACTTTTCAAGAAGGCTTCAAGCATTTTGGTCCTTTTTTTCCTGGTGACTGCTGATTTCATCAATTCCTTTTGCTTAATATAAAACCACCTCACCACTCTCGTTTTTGATATTACTTGTTCTAGTTCCTTAGAAAATTCACATCGATCAAAATCATTTATAAATTCAAGAATCTGAAAATAAAAAGCAAAAAAATAAAATGTACATGCAGTTTCTGGGATCAAAATGTTTCAAGAGCATAGTTTAACCTTTTAGGCCAACAAAAAAAATACAAAAAAAAAAACTATTCAACAAAAGAATGTTCTTTCTCTTAATAATGCTATTACTGTAGACTCTCTTGGCAATGTTTATTGTTTTAAAGAAAACTATATTAGAATTTAAATAAAACTTGAACATATGAAAGTGCATTTATATATTTTCTTTGTTCTTAAAAATTAACAGCAAAAAATTAAATATTGTTTCAGTCAGTCAGTTATGTGCCATGTGTGATACATGCTTAGGTGGTCATGTATCTTTTGGTACATGACTGATGAGGCAGATTTTTTCCCCGCAGTAGGTTGCCATTTCTTTCTGTAGCAGACCAGTTGCCATCCAAGGCTATAGAACCCGCTCTGTCCTACTATTTACCCATAGCTGGGAAGAGAAGAAGAGTATTCATACCTTTCCCAAGGGTATTAACATATAAGTGAATGTAATGGATTCGACTGGAATTCAAACTCAGCTCTCTGATTCCTCATTCCGAGCCACTATCCATTACTCCGCCATGCCTCCTATATACACGATTATAATATATATATATATATATATATATAATGGCCACAATGATTTAAATGTCAACTTCATGGATGCTTTCATTCCTTTTTAGAAATAACAGGTGAAACTGCAATCCTCTCCATGGTTCACACCAGCATATTCAGTCACCATAACACACAGGAGCCACTATTTCCAGCTATACCAGTATGACAGTTCTAATCATAACAGAGGCCTATTTGCTGCTGCTTGTAACAAGTGTAAGTGAGTCCTCAAAGGAGCTAAATCCATGTTTGCTAAAAGAATGAGGCACTGTATAGCCTCTAAAAACCTTTTCTCTTATGATTACTGGCAGCTCTGTAATAGGGTATTAAATAAGTGCAAGGTCTCTATTTCCCCACTCTTCAATCAATTTGAGCTGTTATCATCTCCAGCTGATAAAGTTGAATGCTTTGCCTGTAAATTCTCTTCAAACTCTACTCTTGACTCATCTGGAGTATCCCTGCCTAACTTCCCACTTAGAACTGATTCTCTGTTGAGTGATATGTATATAACACCTTCCATGGTTTCTGCTATCATCTCTAACCTTGATCCTCATAAACATGTGAGCCCAATGGCATCCTTGTAATAGTCATTAAAAAGTGTGCTACCAAGCTGGCTCCTGTCCTCTCTAAACTGTATAATAAATACTTTACTACCTTCTGCTTTCCTGCCTGCTGGAAGTCATCATCCATTGTTCCAGTTTTTAAGAACTGTCCGACCCATCTATCAGCCTATTATTAACCTTCTACCTCTTTTTGGGAAACTCCTAGAGGCCCTAATCAATGCTGAATTTGTTCTTCATCTCTCATCACAGGGCCTTTTCTCAGACAAGCAATACAGCTTTTGTTTTTGTGCTGATGTGTCAACGATAACTGCGGAAAGACTATCATGCTCTAGATAAAAATGGTGAAGCCTGGGCTGTAGCATTGGACATCTTGAAAGCCTTTGACAAAGTCTGGAATTCAGGACTACTCTACAAGCTAAAAAGCTATGATATCGCCACGCACATTTTTGAGCTGATCCAGTCATTTCTATCAAATTGTGAAATGAATACTGTCCTGAACAGCCACTTGTCTATATTCTTTTGTATTAATGCGGGTATCTCCCAGGGCTCCATCTTTAGCTCTATACTGTTTTTAATCTACATTAACAACCTTCCTGATGACATCAGCTTTCAACTTGGCATCTACACTGATGACACAACCATTTCCTCCTGCCTTGAAAGTAAGGCTGATCAGTCCAACAAGGTCAAAATGGCAACTGATGTCCAAAACAACCTCAAGACTGTTGTTAACTGGGGCAAAAGATGGCTTGTCAATTTTAACACCTCCAAAACTAAATTTCTCTCCATTAATCATTTGAGAGACCTCTCTCTGCCTTCCATCAGCATGGCCAATGCTATACTCCAGAAAAGTGACTCATTGCATTGAGAAGCTCAGGTTAATGTTCTCAGCTGACATAAAGTAGAAAGACTATATTGAATCCATTGCTAGGTCAGCTGCTAAGAAAGTCAGTTCACTGTGCCAGGAAAGGCAATTTTTCTCTCTAGCATTTATCTGGTATATCTATAAGTCTACCATTCACTGGGAATATTGCTGCCACATACGACCCAGTGTCTCTGCAGTTTACCTGGAACTTCTTGATAAGATCCAAAGAAGAATCTGCAATATTATTGGTCCTGGTCTGGTGGCTTGGCTTCAGTCACTTGTCCACAGCCATAAGATTGCCTCTCGGTGCCTTATTTATAAATACTTTCATGGTGATTGCTTGGAGGAACTCTTCACTATGGTACCTAAACTGTATGAATTTAAGCGCAATACTAGACTGAAGACAAGATCTTATCAATTTATAGTTGAGCTAGCTAGATGTAGATGTAAATTCTATGCTGACAGTTTCTTTTCTTGCACCTCTCATCTGTAGAACTCCCTTCCAGCCCCATGCTTTCCAGCTAACTTTAATCTGCAAGAGTTTAGATGCAATGTCAATTGCTATCTACTGTCTTCCCGATTGCTCTTTTCTCTTTCTACTCATTACTAATATTTCTCTTTCTAATTCCTCCACAACCTGTAACCTTTAACAGGTTAGTGGGCATACTACCATGCTTGGAATTATACTGATTAAAAAAAATGACATGAACTGCTCAACAAACACTTCAAGGGAGAAACTGATTGTTCCTGTTGTACCAGATGAGTTTGTCACATTTTGTTTTACATCATATCAACCTCAATGGGTTATTTAATATCGACAAGATTTTTTATTGCTGGTAATTTTTTTTCAAAAATGTATTGCTGCTAATATTCATTTCTTCAAAAATGTATTGCTGGTATTAAAACCTATTTTTACACTTTCATACTGTTTTGACTCCAATTTTTAGGGTTAACTATTTACCCAAAGTTAGGACCCTAACAGGTACTACCACCCCGGGTCAGTGTGTACCTGAGAATGCCAGCAAATAGACGTTGTGCATTTTGGTTGTGTTTCCTGTCTAAATATAAATGAGTGTGTAAGTTTGATTTGGTTTGTTTTGTGGCATATCAACCTCAATGGATTATTTAATACCAACAAAATTTTTATTGTTGGTAATATTTTTCTTCAAAAATCTATTTCTGGTAATTTTCCTTCAAATATGTATCGCTGGTAATAGTTTTTTTTAAAAATGTATTGCTGGTTATAATTCTTTTTACAAAGTATTTCGGATATTAAAACCTATTTTTATACTTTCATAGTGTTTTGACCCCGGGTTAGGGGTTAAATATTTGCCCATAGCTGGGACCCTAACAGGTGCTACCACCCCGGGTCAGAGTGGACCTGAGAACACCAGCCTCAGATCAGAGGCCTTGCTGTTGGATGTAGTTTATTGTCTTCCCCAGCACTGATGTTTGTCAGGGTCTCTTCTGTTCTTGGTCTGACTCATTGCAACAGATTTCATATTATCCTTTTTCCACAGTTTTTAATTCAGAGTTTTTCTGTTAGAATGGCTGCCGCTCAAAGCACTTACTTTGATAAACTAAACAATTTCTTTGGTTATCTGAATATCACCTGCCAATGGTAAATAGCAGAAATTATTTTTTAAAATTACTTACCAAGTCATATTCCTTGGGTACTTTGAGAAGAAGAAAAGTTCTTTTCTTATCTGTTGTCAGAGAAACGTCCACAGTTTCCATGTTATTAAAAGTCACTGATCGCAGAATCTTGTTACCTGATTTAAGGTCTAACGACCCTTTTATGGAATTAAAGTTGATATCAACCTTGTTAAAGGATTCTGGATATTCAATCCATTCATAAGCTAGAAAATAAAATAAATTTAATTACTTTTTATATGTGAAGTGTCTTTTCTGGATATGAGAAATCATGGCTCTCCACACTTTCCTCTTTTGTAGCGCTTAGCAATATTTGTCTTTTTACTATCTCTTCTAATGCTTGTTCTGCCAACCCTTTACAAAAGCTTTTAATTACTTACTACCAGCAGTTCCATTTACCAAGACTAAGATGGTGATTGAGAGCTGACTCTTTATCCTTCACATCACTTGTAATGGCTTCTTTTTTTTTTTGGTATTCATGGCCCCTAAGAGGACTCTTGAGTTCAGCACTCTGTTTCATAGGTATCATGCAAATATAACAGATAAACTCTGCATCCTTGATTGGATATGCATGACCTACATGGTCTTCTGTGTACCAACTTCAACCTTCTCAGTCCAGATGATCTGCAAACATTGTTGCAAACAAGAGATATTCTTTGCAGGATGATGAGGCAGGTTGGTATTGTTGGCTTGATTCTGGTTCTTATGATGAACTTTCAGATGGTTTACATAACCTTCCCACAACAACAGCAGGCACACACACACACACATTTCTAAGGCAGCGAATTAGTTGGCATCCAAGCTGTCCTACCACGTCAAGGCGACACACCACCAGGACAGCACAACCCCCAACCTGGAGGACCAGAGTGTGTCTTTCATTTAGCTCCTACCCCACAGACCTCTTGATCTTGGTTGGATCTGCTAAGGGCTGAAGCCCCTGCCTACATAGGTCTGGAGTCACTGAAATTTCCAACCAAGCTCAACAGGTCTGTGGGGTAGGAGCCAGATGAAAGACACACCCTGGCTCTCCAGGTTGGGGGTTGTGCAGCAGGCTAACAACCTACTCACTTAAAAACTAGCTTGTCACAGAAACCTCAATGATATCTTCAAATGACATGACTGAGAAAGAGTCCTCCAAATTTGAGTATATGATGTGTGCTGGTGAAAATCCCCCAGGAAGGCAGTTGGCACAACATAAGCTGAGCTGAAGAGGATCACCCAGAACCATGCCCATTGGAGAGGTGTTCTTGCAGCCCTATGTTCCCTAAGGAATTAAGAGGCATAATGAAAAAAAAAAAGAATGAAATTAGCTGGTAACCCAGAATAAGTGCCTCTTTAGAGATTACACTTGATCTGAGCAAGCCTGACATGTTCATCCTCAAAGGCATTGCATCTCACTCTTACAAAATGCCTGTACTCTTGATGGTTTTAAGTCAGTTCTTTTCCATGTACAATGCATTCAGATTAGCCTTTTTAATCATTTTTCAACCTTTTTCTAGGCTAACATGGATGTTTACTTACCATCATATTTTAGCAAAATTTTAAAAAGAAAAACATTTTTTTGACATGTTTGTATAGAAATAAAATTTAACTACTAATTACTACAATGAAAAAAGGGTTCTCTAGCAGTAATTCCTTATTTATTTATCATTAACCAAGCAGTAATGAGGCCTGTAGTAAAAACAGAACCAGTGAATAAACTTTATTCAAAGCTTTATTGCACTTTACTCTGACTACTCATCTACTGATAGATATTACAGGGTGCTTTTTATACCTCCTTGATCTTAAGGGGAGGTAACTGATGATTTATCAGTACAAGGCCAAAATTGGCAAACAAATGGGAGACATAATAGAAAGCATTGGCAAGATGCAAAAACAGGAATAATTGAAACAATGAATTAGAAAATTGTTTATGACAAGAGGCACATTGTACACAAATACTGTCACCATCTATATCTATAATTCTTAAAATGTGTGTATGTATGTATGTGCATGTGCATGGGTGATCTGATGTTGTTTATGCATTTCCACAGTTTTCATCCAATTTCAGTGAAATTTTTTTTATTTGATAGATAATTCTTCAGTGCCAGTTTTGAGTCCAAATTGGCTGGAAAAAATTACAACCCTGAAGGTGAAAACACGAAAAAACTGATTTTTTACACTTTATGCAAAAATCAAAGGCAAAATTTAATGTTTGTAAAAAACAGTGTACACTCAATTTAGAGAGTTGAAATCTAACACAAAAGATTATTAGAATGAAAAAACAAATAACATTATAAATAAAAATTATTGTATATCATTATTATGACGAAATGATGGAAGAGGTTCCTTCCTTGCAAGATTGAGAATGCAAAAACAAAACAAAAAAAAAAACAGCCCATTTCAAGGCCACACCCCTGTTCAAATTGTTAACCACCCCTCATTTAGGGATGTGCCTCAGTTACACCCAATTGTTGTTACTAATATTGATTTTCGGGTGGGTTGACTTTAAACTTAAACTGCTACAAATGAATAGCAAAAATTCCCAGTAATGAAACACCTGGTCGAAGTAATAATAATTTTGATTATACTATAATCAAAATGTATTTTCCTCTCCATTTTGAAGATGTCTAATGTCTTGGCCTTGCCTGCTGAAGAAGGAAGAGTGTTCCATCCACTCACTACCTGCATGAAAAAGAATTGAGAGGGCAGTGGTTGAATTTTTGATGGATGTCTTATGGAACTTATACGCACTTTTAGTAAAATATTTCTCAAAACCTATGTCACCAATTGAATTTATTGTTCTACTAAATAAATTCACTATTACCTGGAATAAATCGAGTATAAAACATTCAATTACAAGCAAGAAGAGAAACATTGCAAAAAGATACATTTTTTTTTCTTTTTGTTACCTTTGTGAATGTTGTTTTGACGATGGTAACTTCTTCTGAAACTTTTCTTGAATGTTTTTGTATCTTCAAGGAAAGCACGGTAGAGTTTGATTCGATATTGCTTCAACAGACACATGAATAAGATACAAACTGGAAAAAAAAGGAACACAAGATATTTTATCAAGCTAAATAAGTTACTAATGCAAAATAATATCATAGTTGTTACTATATTGGTATTAGGCTGGTATTAATTCAGATTATAATTGACTATACTTATATCGCAGTGAAGAAATGATACCTGGGTCTTTTTTTAAAAAAAGAAGACAATAATCAATAAGTTTATTGTTGCTATTTGAGAATAGTATGAATTATCAATTTTTTGACTGCATTTTTATGAAGCCAATTGTATTCATAATAGAGTTCCTGTATTGATCAAAAGAATATGTATAGGAGCTGATAAAATCCAGATGAAGAGTATTGTGCATTTTCCAGAGATTTCTGTATTCAATTTGGAGGGAAAAGACTGATAGCACTAGTGTTCATGATCTCTTTATAACATCAGACAGGATCCTAGAGTAAGCTTAAAATCTAGTTAGAAAATAATTTTATTTTCTCCACTGAGTTTTGATTGGCCAGAGTGACAGTGCTTTAAGATCCATTTCAAGAACAAAATTTGAGTTTGGCACTTACCATATTTAATGGCATATAAAAGCTCACCTCCATTTTTAATGAGGAACATTAAATGAAAACAATTGATGGCAGTGATGATGATCATTGTCAGTATAACTCGATTATTACTATATTTTCAGATTTCTTCAGAATTTTGAAAACATTCTCATGGTAAAATAACCAGATACAGGGTAACTCATCTAAAATATGCAAAAATGGAAATAACACTGACATCTCATTTTGTTATATAGGAATAAAGTGTCACTGCCGACACTTGAGTTTGAACATAGATCACCAGTGAGCAAACACATAAGTAGGTAGTAGCTTGGTGTCTAATTGATTGCCATTTCTAGTCCATCCTCAATTACAATACGGATCGCTATTCTCTACTCTATTCACTATACTATTCCTCTATTTGGATCACTATACGGATTACTTTTTGAGCAAGTAATATCAAGCAAGTGCTATTAATGCAAGTTTTATTCAAAGGCATCTGACACCAGTATTGTTCAATGGTGAACTATAGTTGTATCTGCAATTACAAAGTCTTTAGTACAATGAGCATTACGAAAACAACGACGAGTATTTCTTGATATTACAAAAGTGTCCATAAGTGTTCATTGACATCACAAAACATTTTAACAGATATATTTATCACATATTTATTACACAAAAATATCTTGAAATACTAAAGAGTAAATTCTTTCAATAAAATTGCCAATGGCTTCAACCATGGCCCCAGATGTCTTCAGAATCTGCTGCAACTCTTCTGGATGGCCTCCTTGTCTAAATTGGTGAATGCTGCCATAATCGTTGCCTTCAATTCATTTTTGGTGTTGCAAGTAGTTTTGTTGGTCTCTCACTCAACTGTGTCCCACACATAATAATCAAGGGGGTTGCAGTCTGAGGAGTTAGGTGGCCAGATGTAAGGGATAATGTGGTTGCAGAAATTGCCTGACAGCTATGACTGGTATCTGTCTATATTTCTGAGATGAGGTATTATGTACACTATTTACATTATTCGGACTATTGTCCTCATCTTTCTCACCATATTTATTACAATGAAAGGACACATGGCACAGTAGATAAAGGCGTTGGTTAGATCCAGTGACAGGACCCAAAGAGTGCGAGTTCAATACCCAGTTAATGCAGTGGAGAACTTGGAGAGGGGAATTAACAGGAGATAACTGATAACTGACATCCATTAAACATGGCACACGGAACTAGGACAGTTTACCCCAGTGAGCGAAATAAAGGGTTCGGTTCAACATTCCAACCACCTGAAGAAACAGCCGAAACGTTATAATAAATATGGCGACAAAGATGAGGACAATAGTCCAAATAATGTAAATAGTGAGCTATGACTGGGTTCTCCTGCTTGTGTGGCATAGTGCAGAGTCCTATTGCCAGCAGCCACCCTGTTGACCCAGGGCAGCACTAACTGCCCAAGGCACTTGATGTAAGCCTCCATGTTGAGCATGAGGCCCTCACCAAAAAATTTGAGAGTTCTTTTCTTATCAGAATGATGAGAGAGTTTTCTAAGCTGATGTACCTTCATAATCACCATTAGATTCATTTAACTCTTTCTTAATCCTCTGCACTGTCCTCAGATTGACACCCAAATACCCTGAAATGTTTGTATTGAACCTTTCAGCATAAATGCCAAGCAGTACAGTATGCCATTTCCAAATTTCTGGCAGAGTGAATTGTGTCATGGTGCTCTTTTTCTCACAGAGGGTGCCCAACTGACCCTACTATACTGGGCAGTTAACAAAATGAAAAACAATACACATACATGAAATTAAAAATATAAAATGGCGACAATTTACTCATTGTACCCTGTATATGTGACAGGTATGATAAAAAGAGATAAACAAATTTAGATAATATAACTCCTAATAAAATACACAATGGTAATAAAACCATTGATGGTTTGTCTAGAACAAATCACATGTCATTGTGATCAAAGGTTTGAACATACTGACCTTATAAAAAAACTGTTAATCACACCAGATGTAGTGATATCAGTTATCAGCTGATACCTAGTTAAATTTTTTCAGGATGCTACAGAAATCATTTTGACAATTATCGTTTTGACAAAGAAGGTCAGCTGAATGGAGCAGATTTCCTAAAAACCAGGCCAACAGGTTCTTGATGAATAACTTTTTTTAGATGAAAGTTGAAAGGACAAAGACAGTGATTCCTAGCAGCCTAAAACAGAGGACTGCATGCCTGCTATGCAGAAGGTACATGCCAGTTAGACTGTCACCTCACCTTGCTTCACTTTTCCTTGCTTGCCTACAGTGTCAATGGAATAAAATTTGCTGACTGCTACAATTTCATCCCATAGTTTTTTCTTGGGTAATTATCCAGCCAAAGAATTATTTTCCTTGTTTTAAGTTACAAGTATTCAATTAGAATTAGGTGTTTGGTCTGAGCAACAACACTATGCAAATGATACACTCTCTCCCAGAAACACTAACTAATGTCTGCTCAGAATAGTTGCAGTATAAACCACAGGTTAGTTCTGTGGGTGTTGAATAAACACAAATGTGCCTGAGCAGGATCCTGAAACAGGGATTCACTAGCTGCCCTAGCAGACGGGTATGCTTAGGAAATGAGTAGAAAGTATAAAAAATAATAAAGAGGGTAAACCCTTACCTCCAGGTATTATTCCAGCAACAACCCACGAAGCAATAAAAGAGACTTCACTTCCCACAAAGAAGTCAAACTCTTTTAAAGATGGACACGGTTTTAAGAGACTCATATTATAAGTAATTGGGTCACAAGAATCTCCTGCAGAAAAAAAAGGTAATAAATGTTAAATACTAACAAAATTTATGTCAAGTCACAATACACTAGCAGCGTGTAATCTAGTACTAACTACCACATGAGCAGGTTCTTGGTAACTATCCCTGTTCCCTTATCAGTCTTTTCTGGTAAGGAGAGTGGCTAGACACCTAGCAGGTTTAAAAACAAACCTGATCAGAGGGTAGGTGAATTCTTTTGTAGGATCAATGACCAACTAGTACAATGGAGTAGACGGGGCTCTATGGATGTCACCAATGTGGTGATGATACAAGAGTATCCTAAACTGAAGTCAACAATGAACTACAGTCCTTAGTTCCAACCCTCACAGCTAAAACTTGCCATGCCACTTACACTGAGGCAAACCACCCCCATTCCCTTGATATTTCATTAGTAAGAAGTAAGTTCCACTTGAATAGATTCTTTTTATGAACCGCTACTGTGTGAAATCGACTCCCAAGAGGATGCTTTTCCAACTGCTACAACCATAACCTGTTCAAGAATAGGGTTAACTGTTATCTTTCCCACATATCTTAATAAACTGCAGCTCTTATGACTCACAATAACCTCCTGCAGTAAATCTATAGCTTGAGTGGCTCTTAAGCCTTGGTGCCTTGAATACATGAATTTAAGCGTGCTACTAGATTGGCAACTATGTCCAACCATTTTACTGTTGAAATAACTAAATGCAACTGCCACTTCTTCACCAACAGGTTCTTTTCTTGCACTTTCTGCCGGTGGAACTCCCTTCCATTTACTTGCTTCCCTGATAACTACAATCCTCAAAAATTTAAATGCAATGTCAATTGCCATCATCTGACTTCTTGAATCCTGTTCATCTTTTGTCCTTTCCACCATACTCCCTATTCTAAGTCTTCTCTTTCACTCTCTGAAACCTATGTATGGATGTACAAACCAATAAATCTAGCATTTAAAGGTTACCTGTTTTAAGAGTTGTACCCCCCTATGGTGAAAAAAAAAATTTATTGTCTGCTTCACCATACTTAATTATGTACACATTTGGCTGTAATGTAAATAAATCAACACATCAGAAATACAAAAACCTGTAGTTAAGAAATGTTTGCATACAACATTTTATGCTATAAATAAGTAATATTTATTTCAAATCAGATTAATTTAAATTTAATTTGCCTTAAATAACATTTCAGAAATATATATTTTATTTTTGCAAAATTTTTAAAACTGAGAATTAACTTTTGTTTACAAATGTGTCAAAAATGGCTGTTTTGATTGATTTCACCAAAAAAGAAATCAATTCTGATCAATATAATTTCTGTTTCAAATACACCACAGAGTATTTTGCTTACTGGAAAGAGTAAATTTTAAATCCTTTAGCTTTCAATTAAAGCTAAAAATGAAAGTTTCAAGAAAGGTTTTTTTCATTTTAAAAAAATCTTTTTAAAAACCTTACATATAGTAAATTAGTGGAGGTGCCTACATCTAAAGATTCTTGACAAAATCCAAAGGAGATTCAGCAATATTATTGTGCCTGACCTGGCATTTGGCTTCAGTCACTATCTCACCACTGTAATGTAGCTTTCCTGCACCTTTTCTATATTTTCATGACATTCGTTCTGCTGACATTTCATGAATTTAAGTTTAATAGTAGATTTGTAGTTATTGTCTTTTGAAATTGTTAAATGTAATTTTTA